TGTAACCATCACACACACACACGTGTACACGTGTACCATCACACACACACGTGTGTACACGTGTACCATCACACACGCACACGCGTGTACACGTGTACCATCACACACACACGTGTGTACACACGTGTGTGCGTGTACACGTGTACCATTACACACGCACACGTGTGTACACTTGTACCATCACACACACACGTGTGTACACACGTGTGTGTGTGTGTGTACGTGTGTACCATTACACACGCACACGTGTACACATGTACCATCACACACGCACACGTGTGTACACGTGTACCATCACACGCACACGTGTGTACACATGTACCATCACACACGCACACGTGTGTACACTTGTACCATCACACACGCACACGTGTGTACACGTGTACCATCGCACACGTGTGCACACGTGTACTATCACACACACGTGTGTACACATGTACCATCACACACACGTGTGTACACATGTACCATCACACACACACACGTGTGTACACATGCACCATAAACACAACAAAAACAACCGCCATTCGCCACTAAGTGGCGGTGACGTCACCACAACGCTTGTGCCAGGCCATGTGCACATTGAGGCCACGTGAAGTGTCGAACGCCCACTGACAGGAGGTCACGGGGCAGACCCAAGTGCCACGGGTCGACTGACTGAGATGACTGGCTGATGCACCACCTGTGCCCCTAACTTGTGTGCTTTAGCCACCCGGCGCTCCGCCCGTTGTTGTGAGCGTCGCTCTTCCACCCTCCGTTGGTGTTGGAGGGCGACTGCCTCCAACTGCCCAGTAGCGTCTTTCACGAGCCTCCTCCACAGAGTCCGATCTTGACACCGCTGGTACCAGTCATTGGCAAGTCCACTCAGCTCCACGTCCTCTGGTACCACATCACTCCCTCTTCTTTAGCCCGTGCCGCGTCCGTTTAGCCCCCTTGATCCGGCCGAACAAAAGCTGTTTAGGCATGCGGTGGCTGGGCATGCGGGCTACATGACCCAGCCAACGCAGCCTTGCCTGCCGGAGGAGCTCACCGATGGGACTTTGTCCAGATCTTTCAAGGATACGTGAGCTCCTCACATAATCCAGCCTGATTAAACCCATGATGGATCGTAGGCAGGCCATCCTAAATGTTTCTAACCGGTCAAAGATGTTCCATTAAGGGGGTCCACGTTTCGCAAGCGTAGAGAAGGGAGGGAATGACTGTGGCCGAGAAGACTCGAAGCTTCATGCGGAGCGACAGAACAGGTAGCTTCCACACAGCGTTACGCAACCGATGAAAAGATAATGCCGCTCGACTGATTCGGAGTGAGACCTCTGCTGTCAAACCGGAGCTGGTCATGAGCACACTGCCCAGGTATGGGAAACTTTCCACTCTCTCCACAACTGCCCTATCACCAATTGGGAGTTGTGGGAGTGGAGCGTCCGATGGTACAAAATACCCAGGCAGGTGCTTAGTTTTGGTGGGGCTGATGGTAAGTCCCCACCTCTTAGTGGCAAGCTCCAGGTTCAGCAGCAGCGCCTCCAACTCCTCCTCTAAGTGAGCAGCAATTACCAGATCATCGGCATATAAAACGTGGTTGAGCAATAGGGAGCCATCCCTTGACCGCACCCGGGCATCGATCACCACCACTACCTTCATCACAACCACTACCACTACCTTCATCACCACCACTACCACCACTACCTTGATCAGCACCACCACCTTCATCATCACCACCACCACTACTACCCTCATCAGCACCACTACCTTCACCATCATCACCACCACTACCTTCATCAACACCACCACTACCTTCATCACCACCACCACTACCTTTACCACCACCACTACCACCACCTTCACCACCACCACCACCACCGTCACCAACTGCCGCCCACCTTGAGTGATGGAGTAGGCGGTGTCGCCGTTGGAGACGGTGGTGAGGAGCGCCACGGCGCCGTCGCTGTCGGACGATGACCACTCGACGCGGAACGCCGCGTCGGCGTTGGCCCTCACCGTGCGCACGGTGCCGCTGGGGTACGTCACGTTCTCCACGTGACCAGACTCGTCATAGCTGGTGGGGGCGGGGCGACAGGGGCGACAGGGGCGGGGAGAGGTTAGGGGTGCATGTCCTAGTCCTAGAGATAGTCCTAGAGATAGTCCTAGAGATAGTCCTTGAGCTAGTCCTAGAGATAGTCCTTGAGATAGTCCTAGAGATAGTACTAGAGATAGTCATTGAGATAGTCCTTGAGCTAGTCCTAGAGATAGTCCTAGAGATAGTCTTAGAGATAGTCCTAGAGATAGTCCTTGAGATAGTCCTAGAGATAGTCCTAGAGATAGTCCTTGAGATATTCCTAGAGATAGTCCTAGAGATAGTCCGTGAGCTAGTCCTAGAGATAGTCCTAGAGATAGTCCTTGAGCTAGTCCTAGAGATAGTCCTAGAGATAGTCCTAGAGCTAGTCCTAGAGATAGTACTAGAGACAGTACTAGAGCGAGACCTAGAGATAGTCCTTGAGATATTTCTAGAGCTAGTCATAAAGATAGTGATTGAGATAGTCATTAAGATAGTCCTAGAGATAGTCATTGAGATAGTCCTTGAGCTAGTCCTTGAGATAGTCCTTTAGATAGTCCTTGAGCTAGTCCTAGAGATAGCCCTAGAGATAATCCTAGATATAGTCCTAGAGATAGTCCTTGAGCTAGTCCTAGGTATAGTCCTTGAGCTAGTCCTAGAGCTAGTCCTAGATATAGTCCTTGAGATAGTCCTTGAGATAGTCATTGAGATAGTCATTAAGATAGTCCTAGAGATAGTCCTTGAGATAGTCCTTGAGCTAGTCCTTGAGATAGTCCTTCAGATAGTCCTTGAGCTAGTCCTAGAGATAGCCCTAGAGATAATCCTAGATATAGTCCTAGAGATAGTCCTTGAGCTAGTCCTAGGTATAGTCCTTGAGCTGGTCCTAGATATAGTCCTTGAGATTGTCCTTGAGATAGTCATTGAGATAGTCATTAAGATAGTCGTAGATCTAGTCCTAGAGATAGTCCTAGAGCTAGTCCTAGAGATAGTCCTTGAGCTAGTCGTAGAGCTAGTCGTAGAGATAGTCCTAGAGCTAGTCCTAGAGATAGTCCTTGAAATAGTCCTTGAGCTAGTCCTAGAGATAGTCCTTGAGCTAGTCGTAGAGCTAGTCGTAGAGATAGTCATAATGCTATCCTAGAGATAGTCTTAATCCTAGAGATAGTCCTAGAGATAGTCCAAGATTCACACGAGCCCGTCCAGCTCACTCGTAGAACGTGCTCCATCCATTGTGGTCGGTGCGTGACGCCAGTAGCCCACCGCCACCGCCGCCACCGCCACCCGTGCCGCCACCCGTGCCGCCGGCCGGGTGGTACGCGAGCCGCGCCAGCCACCGGCCCTGGCTGACGAGTCCCAGCAGCGCTCCGTCTCCCGGCGACACCGCCAGCTCCGTCGCCAGCCCCCCCGGCGCCACCAGCCGCACCGCCTCGCCGCCCGAGACGGCGGGGGGAGGGAAACCCCCCCCCTCGGCCCCCGCCGCGGGGGAGGAGCCCCCCCCGCGCTCCACGCGCAGCACGTTGCCGTCGGCGTCGCTGGTGGGGGGCGGCGGGGCGGGGGGGAGACAGACGGGGGGGAGTGACGTGTGGGGACGGCTGCCGCGGGGGGGTCCCCCAGGTTCAGACTGAGTCGTGCGTTTGGCTTGGAAAGGGGGGGGGGGGCGTGTTGTAGGCGGAGTGGCGTAGCGCTGACGCGGTGGGACGTGTGGGGACAAGCGGGGGGGGGGGGCAGTGGGGGGTTAAGGGGAGACATGGGGAGGGGGTAAACGGGGGGCGAGCAGGGAGATAGTGGTAGTGTGGTAGTGGTGGTGGTGGTGTGGTAGTATCGCAACACCTGGAGGGAGCGGTGGTGTAGTGGTGAGTGCCACGTCGCGCTACGAACCCGGTGATCCGAGTCAAATTCCCACTAGGGGAGGTCCAGGATCGGTTCTGGACCTCCCCTAGATCGACTCAGCCTCAAATGAGTACCTGGAGCGATGTGTCAACATCGCCACTAGGGAGACAAAGGGGGTCGGGCGCGGTGTTGGCCACCCACCCCCTCGTGTACCGTGCCGGCCTTTATAGGTGCTCGCTAACAGCACTTGCCTCAACAGTCTGTTGAGGCTATACGGGGGGGTCTTTATCGTTGTGTGTATGTGTGTGTGTACACGTGTCTGTGTGTACACGTGTCTGTGTGTACACGCGTGTGTGTGTACACGCGTGTGTGTGTGTACACGTGTGTGTGTGTACACGCGTGTGTGTGTACACGCGCGTGTGTGTGTACACGCGTGTGTGTGTGTACACGCGTGTGTGTGTACACGCGTGTGTGTGCCTACACGCGTGCGTGCGTGTGTACACGTGTGTGTGTGTGTACACGTGTGTGTGTGCCTACACGTGTGTGTGTGTGTGTGTACACGTGTGTGTGTGTGTGTACACGTGTGTGTGCGTGTGTACACGCGTGTGTGTGTGTACACGCGTGCCGCGTCGCGCTCACGTGACGGACGACAGCGGCCCGGCCCCCTCCCCCCCCTCGTCGCCCCCCTCCCCGCCGCCGTAGGAGAAGCTGAGGAGGGTGGCTCCCGTGACGAGGCTCCGCGTGCTCAGGTGGCGACCCGTGGCGCTGAACACCAGCAGCTCCTGCTCCGCCGGCAGCGGCACCAGCAGCCTCCCCGACGAGGTGGACGACGACGACGAGGTGGAGGAGGAGGTGGAGGTGGAGGAGGTGGAGGAGGAGGTGGAGGAGGTGGATTCCCGCATGGGGCCCGGCTCACGCACCACACGCACCTGGACAGCGGGCGGCACGGACGGCCCTCTCGGTTCTAGACACCTCGTCATAGACACCTCGTCATAGACACCTCGTCATAGACACCTCGTCATGGACACCTCGTCATGGACACCTCGTCATAGACACCTCGTCATGGTCACCTCGTCATGGACACCTCGTCATGGACACCTCGTCATGGACACCTCGTCATGGTCACCTCGTCATAGACACCTCGTCATGGTCACCTCGTCATAGACACCTCGTGATAGACACCTCGTCATGGACACCTCGTCATAGACACCTCGTCATAGACACCTCGTCATAGACACCTCGTCATGGTCACCTCGTCATAGACACCTCGTCACAGAAACCTCGTCATAGACACCTCGTCATAGATACCTCGTCATGGACACCTCGTCATAGACACCTCATCGTGGACACCTCGTCATGGACACCTTGTCACACTACACTATACACTACCCTATACACCACAATATACACTACTACACTATACACTACACACTACACTATATACTACACTATACAACACTACACTATACACTACACTATACACTACACTATACACTACACTACACACTACACTTTATACTACACTATACACTACTATGCACTGCACTATACACGACACTACTATACACTACACTACTATACACTACTATACACTACACTAATATACACTATACACTACACTATACTATACGACTATACACTACACACTACACTACACTATACACTACACTATACACTACGCTACACACTACACTACTATACACTAAACTATACACTAAACTATACATTACACTATACACTACACACTACACTACTATACACTACTATACTACACACTAAACTATACACTACACTACTATACACTACACTACTACGTATGTGCTGTGTGTGTGTGCTGTGTGTGTGTGCTGTGTGTGTGTGCTGTGTGTGTGTGCTGTGTGTATGTGCTGTGTGTATGTGCTGTGTATGTGTGTAAGTGCTGTGTGTGTGCTGTGTCTGTGTGCTGTATGTGTGTGTACTGTGTGTGTGTACTGTGTGTATGTGCTGTGTGTGTGCTGTGTGTGTGCCCTGTGTGTGTGTGTGTGCTGTGGGTGTGTGTGCTGTGTGTGTGTGCTGTGTGTACCCTGACATTCCCCAAGTCAGCTATGCGGAGGGAACTGTGTGTGTGCTGTGTGTGTGTGTGCTGTATGTGCGTGTGTACTGTGTGTATGTGCTGTGTGTGTGCTGTGTGTGTGCTGTGTGTGTGTGTGTACTGTGTGTATGTGCTGTGTGTGTGTGCTGTGTGTGTGCCCTGTGTGTGCTATGTGCTGTGTGTGTGTGCTGTGTGTATGTGCTGTGTGTGTGCTGTGTGCTGTGTGTGTGCTGTGTGTGTGTGTGCTGTGTGTGTGCTGTGTGTACCCTGACATTCCCCAAGTCAGCTATGTAGAGGGAGCTGTGTGTTTGCCCTGTGTGTGTGTGCTGTGTGTGCTGTGTGTGTGTGTGCTGTATGTGTGCTGTATGTGTGTGTACTGTGTGTGTGTGTGTGCTGTGTGTGTGCTGTGTGTGTGCATGTGCTGTGCGTACCCTGACATTCCCCAAGTCAGCTATGTAGAGGGAGCTGTGTGTGTGTGTGCTGTGTGTGTGTGCTGTGTACTGTGTGTGTGTGCTGTGTGTGTGCTATGTGCTGTGTGTGTGTGTGTGCTGTGTGTGTGTGCTGTGTGTGTGCTATGTGCTGTGTGGGCTGTGTGTGTGGTGCGTGTGTGTGTGCTGTTGTGTGCTATGTGTGTGTGTGCTGTGCTCACCCTGACATTCCCCAAGTCAGCTATGTAGAGGGAGCCGTCCGGGCAGAACGCGAGAGCCGTGGGGGAGTGGAGCCGAGCGTCGCGAGCGGAGCCCCCGTCCCCTCCAAAACACTCGCACGGGGCTGAAGTCAACAACAACAACAACATCATCAACAAACATCAACAACAAACATCAACAACAGGCAGATGGCGGTGGGAGTCGCTCTCACGAATCGGAGGCGCAATAATTAGTGCCGTGAAACACCGGTGCGCCGAGCGGCGAGATGTCTGGCCGCGTCGTGTGGCGGAGGGCTCTCACGAAACAAAATGTGGCCCAGAACTGCACAGACCGAGGGGGAGACCACGCAAACCCCAAATACACCGCAGGCGTCGCCAGGGTCCCGGATCGAACCCGGCGCCTCCGTGCGCCACCGCGGCGTCGCAGCCGGCGCGCGAACACTCACTGGGCGATGACGGCGGAGACGACGAAGATGACGACGACGACGACGAGGAGGAGGAGGAGGAGGCCGCGGCGGGCGGTCCGGCGCCGGTCGCGACGGCCGCCGCGCCGGCGCCGGACTCGGCGCCGCAGTCGCACGGCGCGACGCCGCCCGCGACGGTGACGGCGCCGCCCTCGGGCGCCACGCGCCGCACGCGGTGCAGCCGGCGCCCGTCCGTCTCGGCCACGTGCAGCGCGCCGTCCGGCGACACGGCCAGCGCCACCGGCGACTGCAGCGGCGAGCGAGGCGCCGCCGGCGCCAGGGGCGGCGCCGGCGGCGCCTCGACGCCGCCGGGCGCCGTGCAGTGCGGCGGGCGCCCGGCGACGACGCGGGCGCGGCGCCCGTCCCACACCTGCAGCACCACGCCGGTGTCCAGCACCAGCAGCGAGTTGTCCAGCGGGCTCACGGCCAGGTCCGTGGGCCACTCCAGGCGCACCTGGGGGGGAGGGGGCGGAGGGGGAGGGGGGAGGGGTCACGGGGAGACGGCGGGGACGGTGGCGACTCGACGCGCGGTCGCCCGGTGGGCCCGGTGATCCTGCGACCCCGTGACCTCGCCCCGGTGACCCGGCGACCCGGTGACCTGGCCCCGGTGACCTGGCCCCGGTGACCTGGCCCCGGTGACCCCGTGATCCAGCAACCCGGTGCCTCTATGACCCAGTGACCCTGAAACCCGGCGCCCTGGTGACCCGATGATTGGGCGACCCGGCGACCCCGTCGCCCCCGGCGACCCCGTCGCCCCCGGCGACCCCGTCGCCCCTGGCGACCCCGTCGCCCCCGGCGACCCCGTCGCCCCCGGCGACCCCCGGGGCGCCGACCTGCGCGGCGTCCATGGAGTCCCCGCAGCTGAGCGGGCGAGCGGAGGCTGCGGCGAGGCCGGTGGAGCCGAGCACGGTGGAGATGGCGCCGTTCTGGTCCACACGGCGCACCGAGCTGCCGTCCACAAAGTAGACGAGGCCCCGCTCGTCCACCGCCACGCCTGGGGGGGGGCACGGGGGGGGGGGACCGCATGGGGGGGAGGGACATGGGAGAGGGTGGGGGGCTCAAGCGGGGCATGGTAGGGACATGTGAGTTCAAGAGGAGGGGGGGCAAAGAGGGGGGGCACGGAGGGGCATGGAGGGAGGGCATGGGAGGGGGTGGGGGGAATGATGGGAGGGGGGGTTGGGGGGCACAAAGGGGGGGCATGGTAGGGGACAGGGGCCATGCGGGTGGAAGTGGGGGGCGGCACGGGGGGGGGACCTGGGTATACAGCGACATGTGGACCCGCGTGATGTGACGGGCAGAGCTTCCAGGCTTTCCCCTGCAGTCCCCTGGCGCCCTGCTGCGCACTCACCGCCTCCCGCTCACCGCTCACCGCTCACCGCTCCACACTCACCGCTCACCGCTCCCCGCTCGCCGCGCGTGGCTCACCGCGGGGCTGGTTGAGGCTGGCGGCCGTGGCGCGGCCTCCGTCGCCGCACTTGGCGCCGTCCATGGGCAGGCACTGCTCCCCGTTGCCGGCCAGCACCTCGGCCGGGGCCACCGGCGGCGGCGCTCCGTCGCCGCCCCCCGCCGCCGGGGGCGTCGGCCGCACGCGGTAGAGTCGGCGCGTGGCGCCGTCCGACACGATGACGGCGCCCGTCACGGGGCACACGGCCACGTAGTACTTGTGCGCCGGCGACGCGCTGCGGGGGTCACGGAGGCAAAGGGGGTCCCCCACACCCGCCCAGGTAGCCTTTCACTAGACCGTAGGGGCAAGTGCTGCTGCTGCTGCTGCTGGCAGAGCAGCACCTACGAAGGCCGGAATGGCGCGCGAGGGAGGTGGGGGGTGGGTGGTGGGTTGCCAGCACCACTCCCGGCCAGCTCCGTCTTCCGTAGTGGCGACGGCTACGACACACCGCACCGGGTACTCATTCTAGGCTGAGTCGACCTAGGGGAGGCCCAGGACCGGATCAGATAATCGTTACAGGTAATTAATTGGTGGTGGCAATGAGCGGGAATCGAACTCGGGTCGCCGGGTTCGTAGCGCAGCGCGCCAACAAAAAGACAAAGATCCTCCTTATGGTAAGGGCCATGGTAAGGGTCGTGGTAAGGGCTGTAGCAAGCATCATGGTAAGCACCATGGTAAGGACCATGGTAAGGACCATGGTAAGGGCCATGGCAAGGGACGTGGTAAGGGCTGTAGTAAGCATCATGGTGCTTACCATTGTAAGGACCATGGTAAGGACCATGGTAAGGGCCATGGTAAGGGGCGTGGTAAGGGGCGTGGTAAGCACCATGGTAAGCACCATGGTAAGGGTCGTGGTAAGGGTCGTGGTAAGGGTCGTGGTAAGGGCTGTAGTAAGCATCATGGTAAGGACCATGGTAAGGACCATGGTAAGGGCTGCTCTTCGTAGATTAACGTCATGGGGTGAGTGGGGGGTGGGTGGGGGGTTCCGAACCTGTACCGCGAAGCGGACGGCGGGCGGCATCTAGGGCTGACGCGCCGCCACGGCATTAACTAGGGCGGCCCGCCGGGGTTGGAACCGAGAGCGCTCCACGACGCTCGGAATTCCCCGTTAGCGGGGTGAGTGGCTCACGCCCAAACACAAAGATCCCCCGTGTAGCCTTAACAGACTGTAGGGGCAAGTGCTGTCAGTGAGTAGCAGCACCTATGAAGTGCAATAACACACACAGGGCCACGCTCACCTGTGCTTGAATTCTTTACTCCTGCTGATGCGAGGCACAGGGGCAGAGGGCGGGGGGTCAGGCACACATGGTCACCACGTGCTCCTCCAGTGCGCATCCCTGAATGTCAGTTTGCCCATGCATTACCCCCTCGTGTCTCACAGTGTCTCCCCATGAGTCCCCGTGTCTCCCTGTGTCTCCCCCGTATGCCCTGTGTCTCCCCCTCTGCTTCCCTGTGTCTCCCAGTGTGTCTCCCTGAGTCTGCCCGCGTGTCTCCCTGTGTGTCTCCCATGCGTCTCTCCGTGTCTCCCCGTGTGTCTCCCCGCGTGTATCTCCCCGTGTCTCCGCATGAGTCCCTGTGTCTCCCTGTGCTTCCCTGTGTATCCCTGTGTGTCTTCCCGTGTCTCCCCGCGTGTCTCCCCATGACTCCGTGTGTACCCCTTGCTCCTCCCCCTGTGGCCCCCGCTCACCTGAGCTCCATGACGGTGCTCACGTTGCCCGCGGGCTCCACGCGCCGCACCAAGTTGTAGTCCCCCACGTAGACGGCGCCGTCCGCGCCGCACGCCAGCGCCACCGGCGCCAGCAGCCGCGCCGACTCGGCGGGGCCCCGGCAGCCCCCGGGCGGCGGGGCCCCCGGCGGGCACGAGAGAGGGCGGCGCCGCCCAGAGCCCACGAAGGTCGAGATGACGGGCGGCTGGGAGCGTAGCGCCAGCGACGAGCCGTCGCCGCGGTGCAGGATGCCTGATGCGGGAGGGGGGGGGGCGGCGGGGGGGGGAGAGGGGGGGCGAGGGAGGGGTTAGACACACGGCCAGGATGCTGTCACCCTCCTGCGATTCGCAGGGAGGTACCGCACGGATCGTGACTACGTTTCCCCCCGTCCCGCTGTTCCAATATCGCCGTGTCCCCCTGTCCCCGTGTCCCCCTGTCCCTACATCCCCGTGTATCCATGTCACCGTGACCCCGTGACCCCGTGACCCCCTGTCCCCATGTCACCGTGACCCCCTGTCCCCGTGTCCTCGTATCACCATACTGTATAACCGTGTCACCGTATCACCATGTGACCGTGTCCCTGTGTACCCCTGTCCCTGTGTCCCCCTGTCCCCATATACACTTGTGTCCCTGTGTTACCGTGTTGCCGTGTCTCACACGGGGGAAACATAGGGAGAGACACGGAAGGAGACACGGGGGGGGGGCACGGGGGGACACGGGGGTGGGGTGAGAGACACGGGGGGTATGGCATGCTGGGAGACTCAGGGGGAGACAATGGGGGAGGGGGGGGCACGTGGGGTGTGGGCGCACCGCTGGGCACGTCCAGGGCGTGGTGCGGCTCCAGGCTCCACCCGGCGATCCCGGACGGCTCCAGGGGGAACGCCGGCAGCTCCACCGCACGGCGCTCCCACAGCACCAGCTCGGCACAGCCCGCGTACTCATAGCCCACCCACACTGCCGGGCAGAGACAGTGACCACTCATAGCCCACCCACACTGCCAGGTAGAGACAGTGACCACTCATAGCTCACTCACACTGCCAGATAGAGACAGTGACCACTCATAGCTCACTCACACTGCCAGGTAGAGACAGTGACCACTCATAGCCCACCCACACTGCCGGGCAGAGACAGTGACCACTCATAGCCCACCCACACTGCCAGGTAGAGACAGTGGCCACTCATAGCTCACCCACACTGCCAGACAGAGACAGTGACCACTCATAGCCCACCCTCACTGCCAGGTAGAGACAGTGACCACTCATAGCTCACCCACACTGCCAGACAGAGACAGTGACCACTCATAGCTCACTCACACTGCCAGACAGAGACAGTGACCACTCATAGCCCACCCTCACTGCCAGGTAGAGACAGTGACCACTCATAGCCCACCCACACTGCCAGGTAGAGACAGTGACCACTCATAGCTCACTCACACTGCCAGACAGAGACAGTGACCACTCATAGCCCACCCTCACTGCCAGACAGAGACAGTGACCACTCATAGCTCACTCACACTGCCAGGTAGAGACAGTGACCACTCATAGCCCATCCTCACTGCCAGGTAGAGACAGTGACCACTCATAGCCCACCCACACCGCCAGACAGAGACAGTGACCACTCATAGCCCACCCACACTGCCAGGCAGAGACAGTGACCACTCATAGCCCACCCACACTGCCAGGTAGAGACAGTGACCACTCATAGCCCTCCCACACTGCCAGGTAGAGACAGTGACCACTCATAGCCCACCCACACTGCCAGACAGAGACAGTGACCACTCATAGCCCACTCTCACTGCCAGGTAGAGACAGTGACCACTCATAGCCCACCCTCACTGCCAGGCAGAGACAGTGACCACTCATAGCCCACCCTCACTGCCAGGCAGAGACAGTGACCACTCATAGCCCACCCACACTGCCAGGTAGAGACAGTGACCACTCATAGCCCACCCTCACTGCCAGGCAGAGACAGTGACCACTCATAGCCCACCCTCACTGCCAGGCAGAGACAGTGACCACTCATAGCCCACCCACACTGCCAGGTAGAGACAGTGACCACTCATAGCTCACTCACACTGCCAGGTAGAGACAGCGACCACTCATAGCCCACCCTCACTGCCAGACAGAGACAGCGACCACTCATAGCCCACCCTCACCGCCAGGTAGAGACAGCGACCACTCATAGCCCACCCTCACTGCCAGGCAGAGACAGTGACCACTCATAGCCCACCCTCACTGCCAGGTAGAGACAGTGACCACTCATAGCCCACCCACACTGCCAGGTAGAGACAGTGACCACTCATAGCCCACCCACACTGCCAGACAGAGACATTGACCACTCATAGCCCATCCTCACTGCCAGGTAGAGACATTGACCACTCATAGCCCACCCACACTGCCAGACAGAGACAGCGACCACTCATAGCTGACCCCCCATGCTCCCACACGCCCCCCCACCGCCGTACCGACGGCGTGTGCGGTGCCGTAGACCCGCGAGCCGTAGGCGTCGGTTCGGTCCCAGGCCAGGGTGTGGGCGAGGCGAGGCGCCGGCGGGAAGCGCCGCTCCAGCAGCCGCCCCTCCACCGCCAGGAGGAGCCGCACGGCGGCGAGGCGCGGCGGCGGCACCGGCGGCGTCAGCAGCAGCCGAAGCAGCGAGCGGCGCGCCGGGGCGCCGTCGCTGCGGTAGGAGAGGCGCAGCGACGAGCCCGGCACCGGCAGCCTCACGCGCAGCGTCTGTGGGGGGAGGTTGGTGGGGGGGGGGAAATATCGGGGGGCCATCGGACAACAACGAAAATAAAACGTCGGGCGTGTGCCGCTGGTGGGGCCTCACGGAACCGCGGAAAGGGTGCGCGGTAAAGGTCGTGGTAAGGGCAATAGTTAAGGTCCATGGTAAGGGTCCATGCAAGGGCCGTAGTAACGGCCATGGTAAGGGTCGTGGTAAGGGCTGTCGTAGGGACCATGGTAAGGACCATGTTAAGGACCATGGTAAGGGCTGCTTCTCGTAGATTAACGTCATGCGGTGGGAGGATCCCCAGTGGCGATGTTTATTACACACCGCATCGGGTACTAATTTGAGGCTGGGTCGACCTAGGGGAGGCCCAGGACCGGTTCAGATAATCGTCACCGGCATTGTCCGTGAGCGGGAATCGATCCCGGGTCGCCGGGTTCGTAGCGCAGCGCAGCGCTGACCGCTACACTGCAACTATCACCCCCACCACCCCCACCACCACCATCACTACCACCATCCACCACCGTGTCCTCACCCCCACCACCATCATCACCATCATCACTACCACCATCCACCACCGTGTCCTCACCCCCACCATCACCACCATCACTACCACCATCCACCACCGTGTCCTCACCACCACCATCACCACCACCACTACCACCATCCACCACCGTGTCCTCACCCCCACCATCACCACCACCACTACCACCATCCACCACCGTGTCCTCACCCCCACCCCACGCCCACGCCAACCTCACCGCGCTCCTCACCGCCCTCCTCACCTGCGTCAGCGGCAGCACATCCTCGTCGGCGCCCTCACCTCCACCTCCCCCAACGTGGGGCTCGGCCTGGCCCCCCGCGGGCGGCCAGGCGAGCACCACGGGGTCCGGCTGCTCGAGTCCCGAGCGGTCGCAGCTGGGGATTTCGTTCTGCTCGCGACGCAGCACCAGCGGCTCGAGCACGAGAAGCCGGCGCCAGGGCAGGCGCACCCAGCGCACGCGCACCACGAACGGAGGCCGCTCCAGACGCAGCGCGGCCGATCCGCCGCCCTCTGCCAGAAGGTCGAAGCTAACGGGGAGGTGGGGGGGGAGGGAGCGGGGAGGGGTGTTGAGGAGGTGGAGGGGGGGGTTATGGGTTAGGTGGATAGGAGGGACTCGCTGGGAGGATGGGTTATGTGTCCATGTCTACCTGTGTCCCCCGTGTCCCCCTGTTTCCGTGTCCCCCTGTACCGATGTCCCCCTGTCCCCCATACCACTGTGTCCCCGTGTCCCCCTGTACCCCTGTTCCTGTGTCCCACTGTTTCCGTGTCCCCCTGTACCCATGTCCCCCGTTTCACCGTGTCCCCCGTGTCCCCCTGTACCCCTGTTCCCGTGTCCAACTGTACCCATGTCCCCCTGTCCCCCATACCACTGTGTCCCCGTGTCCCCCTGTACCCCTGTTCCCGTGTCCCCCTGTACCCCTGTTCCCGTGTCCCCCTGTACCCATGTCCCCCGTGTCACCGTGTCCCCCGTGTCCCCCTGTACCCCTGTTACACTGCTCCCCTGTTCCCGTGTCTCCCTGTTTCCGTGTCCCCCTGTCCCCCGTGTCACCGTGTCCCCCTGTCCCCCCTGTCGCCGTGTCCCCCGTGTCCCCACACCCCGACGCTCACGCGACCCCATTCCCCCGTGTCTCCTTGACCTCCCCCGTTCCACCCCTCCCCCCCAATGTGACCCCGGGTGACCCTCTCCCGTGACCCCTCCCCCCCATGTGACCCCGGGTGACCCTCTCCCGTGACCCCGCCCCCCCACTCACTATCCGTCGTGCCGAGTGAGAGTGAAGCCCAGGGCGGGCAGCCCCACGAAGCTCACGTTGACCCCGACCAGCGGGGAGCCGTCCACGGTGGTCACCTGACCCCGGATCACGCACACACGGCTGGGGGGGGGGGGGGGGTCACGGGTGGTGGGTGGGAGGGAGGCGGGAGGGCGTGGAGGTTAGGGGTCAGGGGTCAGATCTTCGCCCTCGACTGGCGAAGCCACGGCGCTCGGGATTGACGTGTCACGTGACGACTGCCTCTCTCTCCCTCCTCTCCCTCACCTCATCACTTCTCAGTACTCTCCCCCCTCTCTCCCCCTCACTCTCCCCCATCTCTCCCCCGCACACTCTCCCCACTCTCCCCCTCACACTCTCCCCTCACTCTCCCCCATCTCTCCCCCTCACACTCCCCCCTCTCTCTCTCCCCTCACACTCTCCCCTCACACTCTCCCCTCACACTCTCCCCTCACACTCTCTCCACACACTCCCCCGTCACACTCCCCCCTCACACTCCCCCCCTCACACTCCCCCTCACACTCTCCCCTCACACTCTCCCCTTACACTCCCCCTCACACTCCCCCTCACACTCCCCCCCTCACACTCCCCCCCTCACACTCCCCCTCACACTCTCCCCTCACACTCTCCCCTCACACTCTCCCCTCACACTCCCCCCTCACACTCCCCCCCTCACACTCCCCCTCACACTCTCCCCTCACACTCTCCCCTCACACTCTCCCCTCACACTCCCCTCCTCACGCTCTCTCTCACACTCCCCGTCACACTCCCCCTCACACTCCCCCTCACACTCCCCCTCACACTCCCCCTCACACTCTCCCCTCACACTCCCCTCCTCACGCTCTCCCTCACACTCCCCTCACACTCCCCCTCACACTCCCCCTCACACATCTCCCCCTCACACTCCCCCTCTCACACTCCCTCTCACACTCTCTCCCTCACACTCCCCCTCACACATCTCCCCCTCACACTCCCTCCCTCACACTCCCCCCCTCACACTCTCCCTCTCCCACTCCCCCCCTCACACTCCCCCCCTCACACTCCCCCCCTCACACTCCCCCTCACACTCCCCCTCACACTCTCCCCCTCACACTCTCCCCTCACACTCCCCCCTCACACTCCCCCCTCACACTCTCCCCCTCACACTCTCCCCCTCACACTCCCCTCACTTTCCCCCTCACACTCCTCTCACACTCCCTCTCACACTCCCCCTCACACTCCCCCTCACACTCCCCCTCACACTCCCCTACTCACACTCCCCCCTCACACTCCCCCCTCACACTCCCCCTCACACTCCCCCCTTCACACTCCCCCCTCAAACTCCCCCTCACACTCCCCCCTCACACTCCCCCCTCACACTCCCCCTCACACTCCCCTCACACTCCCTCTTACACTCCCCCCCCTCACACTCCCCCTCACACTCCCCCCTCACACTCCCCCTCACACTCCCCCCTCACACTCCCCCCTCACACTCCCCCCCTCACTCTCCCCTCACACTCCCCCCTCACACTCCCCCTCACACTCCCCCCTCACACTCCCCCTCACACTCCCCCCCTCACACTCCCCCGTACTCTACCTGCTATCGAAGGGGTTCTCCCCGGGCACCACGTGCACGCTGTCCCTGCCCAGCAGGAAGCCGACGCGCTCCCAGAAGGAGGCCGGCGGCCACCCGCGACCCCGGCTCGGCCCGGCCCGAGCCGTGGCCCAGCCGGGCCGCCTCAGCAGCGTCGCCGGGTCCGGGGAGCCGCGGCACGTCGGGGCCGCGCGGCACGACGGCTGCACGCAGCAATCTGGGTCCAGGCAGTCGGTGAGACCGTCTGGTGGTGGTGGCGATGGGGGCAGGGGACGGGGGCAGGGGAGGGGACGGGGGCAGGGGACGGGGGCAGGGGACGGGGGCAGGGGACGGGGGCAGGGGACGGGGGCAGGGGACGGGGGCAGGGGACGGGGCAGGGGAGAGGAGGGGGCAGGGGAGGGGAGGGGCCAGGGGAGGGGATGGGGCAGGGGAGGGGATTGGTTCAGGGGACGGGGGCAGGGGAGGGGAGGGGGCAGGGGAGGGGGCAGGGGAGGAGATGGGGTAGGGGGCAAGGGAGGGGATCGGGCAGGGGAGGGGGGATGGGATGAGGGGTGGGAGGCATGGGATGGATGGGATGGGAGGGATGAGAGGGGAGGGATGGGATGGGAGGGATGGGATGGGAGGGGTGGGAGGGGTGGGAGGGATGGGAGGGGAGTGATGAGAGGGGAGGGATGGAAGGGATTGGATGGGAGGGATGGGATGGGAGGGGTGGGAGGGATGGGAGGGGAGTGATGAGAGGGGAGGGATGGGATAGGGAATCGAGGGATAGACGGAGAGAGAGAGAGAGGCAAGAGTGGGGTAGGAGAGGGAGGGGATAGATGAGGTAGAGACGGAGAGAGGAGTTAGGGGGAGAGTTCGGAGCGGTGCGAGGGAGCGGGGAGCGACAGAGAGAGAGAGAGAGCCCAGCAGTGGAAGAGGTCAAGCGGGGAGCTGACCTCTGCGAGCCGAGTAACGGACACAGTGCGTAGCGCGTTGGGAACGGGCAGGGTGCCTCGGCTCGAACCGGCATCGCGTGAATGGTTTATAATCGACTCCGTTCATCGTGGTACAGCCACGCGAGCGAGTCTCGGGACTCGTTTTCAAGAGGGTCCTGCCACCGCCATCGCCGCCGCCGCCGCTGCACGGTAGGGACGCTGATTCGTGCGGCGCGTTCAGCCGATTGACGACGTGTCGTGTTTGCCGCTGTTGTTATTCACATGGGGAGGACAGCGGAGCGCCCGGAGAAAACCAAGGCCTCGCGTGCGAGGGGCAACGCTCTATCCTCCGCCCCCCGCCTACAGATGGAACAGATGGCGATTAGTCCACACACAAGGCCAGGGCTACTGCTGCTCCTCCTTGACGCCCGCCCACGGTGAAGGGAGTTCCACGCAACATCTGTGAGTGATCCACCAACCCTCGCTGCACGTGCAGCAGCAGCAACAGCAGAGTAGCCATCACCGCCACCGGACTTCAAACGATAATCGAAACAAATGTTTATATTTGACCAGGCAATGCCCACTGAGCTATGTAGCGCTTTTTCAGAAGCGATCTGGCCACAAATGATAGCTATGCGAAGTGGTGCATCATCATCATCACGTGGACATTTATAACAACCAAACACTCTAAACGCGTGATGTGGAGGGGAAAACCGGAGGTCCCGGAGAAACATCCACGCGACAACGAAGAGAAAGGCACACAAACTCCTAATATACAGCAGCAGGCATCGTCAGGGTCGGGATCGAACCCACGACCTCCTGCATACCAGGCGAGGTAGTTAACATCTCACCACTTTAAGCAACCCTGCCCCTGTTGACGAGAGGCTGGGTGTCAAAGCCCGCGAGGAGGCTGTTTCGCATCATTCCGTGAGAAGTGGCGATACCCATGAACGGCAAAAACCCATCTCGTCATTCCCTCTGCTGCCTACCTCTGCCCCGACCAAACCTTCACAATCCATGCCCCCCCCCCACCCAGTGCCGAAGTTAATGCTGGGGCCTGCTGTACACGATGTTATAAAGGGGCCCTACATTAAAGAAAAAAACACGTAAATATTAAGACACAATTTTTAACTTGCATAGTAAAGTAATTGTATTATTTTTCCTTTGCTATACAGCCGGATAATACGACAAATCGCTAACCTTAAACACCCGGTCGTTCGTAAAAGCCGTAGGCGGTATAGTACTATAGTAATAGAGCAAGTGCAGAATCACTGAACCGGAATTGATAGCTTGAAAGCGTTTAGCGCGGGGCCCTTGAAAGTGCGGGGCCCGTAGCTACTATACATGTAGTAGCTGCTACTACATATATAGTAGCTATTACATGTATAGTAGCTACTAGACATGTAGTAGCTACTAGACATGTAGTAGTAGCTACTACACATATAGTAGCTACTACTACACGTGTAGTAGTAGCTACTAGCTACACATGTATAGTAGCTACTATACACGTATAGTAGCTACCATACATGTATGGTAGCTACTATACACGTATAGTAGCTACCATACATGTATAGTAGCTACTATACATGTATAGTAGCTACCATACATGTATAGTAGCTACTATACATGTATAGTAGCTACTATACACGTATAGTAGTGCGGGTGCGGGAGGGGGTGGTGGGGGTCCGGGAGGGGGTGGGGTGGTGGAGTTGGAGGTGGGGGCAGTGCCGGATTATCCCAGTAGTTCAAAAGCTACACATGTATAGTAGCTACTACACATGTGTAGCTAGTAGCTACTACTACATGTCTAGTAGCTACTATACATGTATAGTAGCTACTATACATGTGTAGCTAGTAGCTACTATACATGTATAGTAGCTACTATACATGTATAGTAGCTACTATACATGTGTAGTAGCTACTATACATGTATAGCTTTTGAACTACTGGGATAATCCGGCACTGCCCCCACCTCCAACTCCACCACCCCACCCCCTCCCGGACCCCCACCACCCCCTCCCGCACCCCCCCCACCACCCCCACCCCCCACCCCCCACCCCCACCACCACCACCCCCACCACCCCCCCCCCACCACCCCCACCCCCCACCACCCCCACCACCCCTACCACCCCCACCACCACCCCACCACCACCCCCACCACCCCCACCCCCCACCCCCGTACCGGCGTCGTCGTCTCTGCCGTCCCCGCACGCCGTCTCTGCGGCCACGTCGCAGGCGCTCCCCCGCCAGCCCGACTCGCAGAGGCAGCGCCACCCGCCGTGTCCCAGCGAACAGCGGCCGTGCTCGGAACACAGCGACGGGCAGCCTTCTGTAACAGCAACAACAACAGCAATGACGACAACAACCACAACAACAACCACAACCACCACAACCACCACAACAACCACAACAACCACCACAACAACAGCAGCAGCAATGACGACAACAACCACCACAACAACCACAACAACAACCACCACAACAGCAGCAGCAATGACGATAACAACCACCACAACAACCACCACAACAACCACAACAACAACCACAACAACAACAGCAGCAATGACGACAACAACCACCACAACAACCACTACAACAACAACAACAGCAGCAGCAATGACGACAACAACCACCACAACAACCACAACAACAACAGCAGCAATGACGACAACAACCACCACAACCACAACAACAACAGCAGCAGCAATGACAACAACCACTACAACCACCACAACAACAACAACAACAGCAGCAATGACGACAACAACCACCACAACAACCACAACAACAACAGCAGCAATGACGACAACAACCACCACAACCACCACAACAACAACAGCAGCAGCAGCAATGACGACAACAACCACCACAACCACCACAACAACCACAACAACAACAACAGCAGCAATGACGACAACAACCACCACAACAACCACCACAACAACAGCAGCAGCAATGATGATGACAACAACCACTACAACCACAACAACAACAGCAACAACAGCAGCAGCAATGAAGACGACAACAACCACCACAACAACCACAACAACAACAGCAGCAGCAATGACGACAACAACCACAACAGCAGCAGCAGCAGCAATGACGACAACAACCACCACAACAACCACAACAACAACAGCAATGACGACAACAACCACTACAACAACAACAACAGCAGCAGCAATGACGACAACAACCACAACAACCACCACAACAACAACAACAGCAGCAATGACGACAACAACCACCACAACAACAACAGCAGCAGCAATGACGACAACAACCACCACAACAACCACAACAACAACAACAGCAATGACGACAACAACCACTACAACCACCACAACAACAACAACAGCAGCAGCAATGACGACAACAACCACCACAACAACAACAACAGCAGCAGCAATGACGACAACAACCACCACAACAACCACCACAACAACAACAACAACAGCAGCAGCAATGACGACAACAACCACTACAACCACCACAACAACAACAACAGCAGCAGCAATGACGACAACAACCACCACAACAACTACAACAACAACAGCAGCAGCAATGACGACAACAACCACCACAACAACCACAACAACAACAACAGCAGCAGCAATGACGACAACAACCACCACAACAACCACAACAACAACAGCAGCAGCAATGACGACAACAACCACCACAACAACTACAACAACAACAGCAGCAGCAATGACGACAACAACCACAACAACCACCACAACAACAACAACAACAGCAGCAATGACGACAACAACCACTACAACAACCACAACAACAACAACAGCAGCAGCAATGACGACAACAACCACCACAACAACCACAACAACAACAGCAGCAGCAGCAATGACGACAACAACCACCACAACAACCACAACAACAACAACAACAGCAGCAGCAGCAATGACAACAGCCACCACAACAACCACTACAACAACAACAACAGCAGCAGCAATGACGACAACAACCACTACAACAACCACAACAACAACAACAGCAGCAATGACGACAACCACCACAACCACCACAACAACCACCACAACAACAGCAGCAGCAGCAATGACGACAACAACCACTACAACTACAACAACAGCAGCAGCAGCAATGACGACAACAACCACTACAACAACCACAACCACCACAACAACAACAGCAATGACGACAACAACCACCACAACAACAACAGCAGCAGCAATGACGACAACAACCACCACAACAACAACAACAGCAGCAGCAGCAATGACGACAACAACCACCACAACAACCACAACAACAACAGCAGCAGCAGCAATGACGACAACAACCACTACAACAACCACAACAACAACAACAGCAATGACGACAACAACCACTACAACCACCACAACAACAACAACAGCAGCAGCAATGACGACAACAACCACCACAACAACAACAACAGCAGCAGCAATGACGACAACAACCACCACAACAACCACCACAACAACAACAACAACAGCAGCAGCAATGACGACAACAACCACTACAACCACCACAACAACAACAACAGCAGCAGCAATGACGACAACAACCACCACAACAACTACAACAACAACAGCAGCAGCAATGACGACAACAACCACCACAACAACCACAACAACAACAACAGCAGCAGCAATGACGACAACAACCAGCACAACAACCACAACAACAACAGCAGCAGCAATGACGACAACAACCACTACAACAACCACAACAACAACAACAGCAGCAGCAATGACGAAAACAACCACCACAACAACCACAACAACAACAGCAGCAGCAGCAATGACGACAACAACCACCACAACAACCACAACAACAACAACAGCAGCAGCAGCAATGACAACAGCCACCACAACAACCACTACAACAACAACAACAGCAGCAGCAATGACGACAACAACCACTACAACAACCACAACAACAACAACAGCAGCAATGACGACACCCACCACAACCACCACAACAACCACCACAACAACAGCAGCAGCAGCAATGACGACAACAACCACTACAACTACAACAACAGCAGCAGCAGCAATGACGACAACAACCACTACAACAACCACAACCACCACAACAACAACAGCAATGACGACAACAACCACCACAACAACAACAGCAGCAGCAATGACGACAACAACCACCACAACAACAACAACAGCAGCAGCAATGACGACAACAACCACCACAACAACCACAACAACAACAGCAGCAGCAGCAATGACGACAACAACCACTACAACAACAACAACAGCAGCAGCAATGATGACGACAACAACCACCACAACAACAACAACAGCAACAGCAGCAATGACGACAACAACCACCACAACAACAGCAGCAGCAATGACGACAACAACCACTACAACCACCACCACAACAACAGCAGCAGCAATGACGACAACAACCACCACAACCACCACAACAACAACAGCAGCAGCAGCAATGACGACAACAACCACTACAACAACAACAACAATAGCAGCAATGACGACAACAACCACCACAACCACCACAACAACACCAACAACAGCAGCAGCAATGACGACAACAACCACCACAACAACAACAACTGCAGCAATGACGACAACAACCACCACCACAACAACAACAACAGCAGCAGCAGCAATGACGACAACAACCACCAAAACCACCACAACAACAACAACAGCAGCAATGACGACAACAACCACCACAACCACCACAACAACAACAGCAGCAATGACGACAACAACCACCACAACCACCACAACAACAACAACGTGCAGCGCGAGTCGTCGTTTCGCTGCTGCTGTGAGACGCGGGGGGGGGGGGCGTGGGGAGACGCGGGGGGGGCGTGGGGATACGCGGGGGGGGGCTTGGGGGGACGCGGGGGGTGGGGCGTAAGGAAACGCGGGGGGGGGGCGTGGGGAGACACGGGGGGGGGCGTGGGGAGACACGGGGGGGGGGGACGGGTGGGGGTGGGGAGACGCGGGGGGGGGGGGGGGGACGGGTGGGGGTGGGGGGGACGCGAGGCTGTCGCTCGCCGAACCCGAGGCGCCCTTCGCGGGGCCTGAACGTGGAGCAGGTTGGCGAGAGGGCGAGGCGAGTTGCGAACGAGAGCCTCCCGTGCCCGCCACATCGGTTGGCGGGCACGGGAGGCTGTGCCGGGTGCCAGCGCGTGAGAGCGGGCCTCACCTTTCACCACGTTGTCCATGTAGTAGGCTGGGGAGACACGCACACAGGCACCGGTGCGCACAGGTTAATTGGCGAGCGGTGACTTTGAGCGTAGCCCCCCCCCCCAAGCCGCTCTCCCACCTGAGTCTCACCTATGATGGAGGTGTCCCACTCTGTGTCTCACCTACGATGGAGGTGTCCCACTCTGTGTCTCACCTATGGTGCAGGTGTCTCACCTGTGCCTCACCTATGATGGAGGTGTCCCAACTGTGTCTCACCTATGGTGCAGGTGTCCCAACTGTGTCTCACCTATGGTGCAGGTGTCTCATTCTGTGTCTCACCTACGATGGAGGTGTCCCACTCTGTGTCTCACCTATGATGGAGGTGTCCCACCTGTGTCTCACCTATGGTGCAGGTGTCTCACCTGTGACTCACCTATGGTGCAGGTGTCTCACTCTGTCTCACCTATGATGGAGGTGTTTCACTCTGTGTCTCACCTATGGTGCAGGTGTCTCACTCTGTGTCTCACCTATGATGGAGGTGTCTCACTCTGTGTCTCACCTACGATGGAGGTGTCCCACCTGTGTCTCACCGATGATGGAGGTGTCCCACCTGTGTCTCACCTATGGTGCAGGTGTCCCACCTGTGTCTCACCTATGATGGAGGTGTCTCACCTGTGTCTCACCTATGGTGCAGGTGTCTCACCTGTGTCTCACCTATGATGCAGGTGTCTCACCTGTGTCTCACCTATGATGGAGGTGTCTCACTCTGTGTCTCACCTATGATGGAGGTGTCTCACCTGTGTCTCACCTATGATGCAGGTGTCTCACCTGTGTCTCACCTATGATGGAGGTGTCCCACCTGTGTCCCACCTGTGTCTCACCTATGGTGCAGGTGTCCCACTCTGTGTCTCACCTATGGTGCAGGTGTCCCACCTGTGTCTCACTCTGTGTCTCACTCTGTGTCTCACCTATGGTGCAGGTGTCCCACCTGTGTCTCACCTACGATGGAGGTGTCTCACTCTGTCTCACCTATGGTGCAGGTGTCTCACTCTGTGTCTCACCTATGGTGCAGGTGTCTCACTCTGTGTCTCACCTATGGTGCAGGTGTCTCACTCTGTGTCTCACCTATGGTGCAGGTGTCTCACCTATGGTGCAGGTGTCCCACCTGTGTCTCACTCTGTGTCTCACCTATGGTGCAGGTGTCCCACTCTGTGTCTCACCTATGGTACAGGTGTCCCACTCTGTCTCACCTACGATGGAGGTGTCCCACTCTGTGTCTCACCTATGGTGCAGGTGTCTCATTCTGTGTCTCACCTATGGTGCAGGTGTCTCACTCTGTGTCTCACCTATGGTGCAGGTGTCTCACTCTGTGTCTCACCTATGGTGCAGGTGTCTCACCTATGGTGCAGGTGTCCCACCTGTGTCTCACTCTGTGTCTCACCTATGGTGCAGGTGTCCAACTCTGTGTCTCACCTATGGTACAGGTGTCCCACTCTGTGTCTCACCTACGATGGAGGTGTCCCACTCTGTGTCTCACCTATGGTGCAGGTCTCCCACTCTGTGTCTCACCTATGGTGCAGGTGTCCCACTCTGTGTCTCACCTATGGTGCAGGTGTCTCACCTATGGTGCAGGTGTCCCACTCTGTGTCTCACCTATGGTGCAGGTGTCTCACCTATGGTGCAGGTGTCTCACCTATGGTGCAGGTGTCTCACTCTGTGTCTCACCTACGGTGCAGGTGTCTCACCTATGGTGCAGGTGTCTCACTCTGTGTCTCACTCTGTGTCTCACCTATGGTGCAGGTGTCTCACCTATGGTGCAGGTGTCTCACTCTGTGTCTCACCTATGGTGCAGCTGTCTCACCTATGGTGCAGGTGTCTCACTCTGTGTCTCACCTATGGTGCAGGTGTCCCACTCTGTGTCCCACCTATGGTGCAGGTGTCTCACCTATGGTGCAGGTGTCTCACCTGTGTCTCACCTATGGTGCAGGTGTCTCACCTATGGTGCAGGTGTCTCACCTATGGTGCAGGTGTCTCACTCTGTGTCTCACCTATGGTGCAGGTGTCTCACCTATGGTGCAGGTGTCTCACTCTGTGTCTCACCTATGGTGCAGGTGTCTCACCTATGGTGCAGGTGTCTCACCTATGGTGCAGGTGTCTCACCTATGGTGCAGGTGTCTCACTCTGTCTCACCTATGGTGCAGGTGTCTCACCTATGGTGCAGGTGTCTCACCTATGGTGCAGGTGTCTCACTCTGTGTCTCACCTATGGTGCAGGTATCTCACTCTGTGTCTCACCTATGGTGCAGGTGTCCCACTCTGTGTCTCACCTATGGTGCAGGTGTCCCACTCTGTGTCTCACCTATGGTGCAGGTGTCTCACTCTGTGTCTCACTCTGTGTCTCACCTATGGTGCAGGTGTCTCACCTATGGTGCAGGTGTCTCACCTATGTTGCAGGTGTCTCACTCTGTGTCTCACCTATGGTGCAGGTGTCTCACCTATGGTGCAGGTGTCTCACCTATGGTGCAGGTGTCTCACTCTGTGTCTCACCTATGATGGAGGTGTCCCACCTGTGTCTCACTCTGTGTCTCACCTATGGTGCAGGTGTCTCACCTATGGTGCAGGTGTCTCACTCTGTGTCTCACCTATGGTGCAGGTGTCTCACCTATGGTGCAGGTGTCTCACCTATGGTGCAGGGTGTCTCACCTATGGTGCAGGTGTCTCACTCTGTGTCTCACCTATGGTGCAGGGTGTCTCACCTATGGTGCAGGTGTCTCACCTATGGTGCAGGGTGTCTCACTCTGTGTCTCACCTATGGTGCAGGTGGTCTCACCTATGGTGCAGGTGTCCTCACCTATGGTGCAGGTGTCTCACCTATGGTGGCAGGTGTCTCACTTCTGTGTCTCACCTATGGTGCAGGTGTCTCACTATGGTGCAGGTGTCTCACCTATGGTGCAGGTGGTCTCCACCTATGGTGCAGGTGTCTCACCTATGTTGTCAGGATGTCTCACCTATGGTGCAGGTGGTCCTCACCTATTGGTGCCGGTGTCTCACCTATGGTGCAGGTGTCTCACCTATGGTGCAGGTGTCCTCACTCTGGTGTCTCACCTAATGGTGCAGGTGTCTCACCTATGGTCAGGTGTCTACCTACGGTGCGGTGTCTCACCATGGTGCAGGTGTCCTCACCTATGGTGCAGGTGTCTCACTCTGGTTTCACCTAGTGGTGCAGGTGTCACTCACTATGGTGCAGGTAGGTGTCTCACCTATGGTGCAGGTGTCTCACCTATGGTGGCAGGTGTCTTCACCTATGGGTGCAGGGTCTCACCTATGGTGCAGGTGTCTCACCTATGGTGCAGGTGTCTCACCTATGGTGCAGGTGGTCCTCACTCTGTGTCTCACCTATGGTGCAGGTGTCTCACCTATGGTGCAGGTGTCTCACCTATGGTGCAGGTGTCTCACTCTGTGTCTCAACTATGGTGCAGGTGTCTCACCTATGGTGCAGGTGTCTCACCTATGGTGCAGGTTCTCACTCTGTGTCTCACCTATGGTGCAGGGTGTCTCACCTATGGTGCAGGTGTCTCACCTATGGTGCAGGTAGTCTCACCTATGGTGCAGGTGTCTCACTCTGTGTCTCACCTATGGTGCAGGTGTCTCACCTATGGTGCAGGGTGTCTGCACCTATGGTGCAGTGTCTCCCTATGGTGCAGGTGTCTCACCTATGGTGCAGGTGTCTCACTCTGTGTCTCACCTATGGTGCAGGTGTCTCACCTATGGTGCAGGTGTCTCACCTATGGTGGCAGGTGTCTCACTCTGTGTCCTCACCTATGGTGCAGGTGTCTCACCTATGGTGCAGGTGTCTCACCTATGGTGCGCAGGTGTCTCACTCTGTGTCTCACCTATGGTGCAGGTGTCTCACCTATGGTGCAGGTGTCCTCACCTATGGTGCAGGTGTCTCACCTATGGTGCAGGTGTCTCACCTATGGTGCAGGTGTCTCACCTATGGTGCAGGGTGTCTCACCTATGGTGCAGGGTGTCTCACTCTGTGTCTCACCTATGGTGCAGGTGTCTCACCTATGGTGCAGGTGTCCTCACCTATGGTGCAGGTGTCTCACCTATGGTGCAGGTGTCTCACTCTGTGTCTCACCTATGGTGCAGGTGTCTCACCTATGGTGCAGGTGTCTCACCTATGGTGCAGGTGTCTCACCTATGGTGCAGGTGTCTCGCCTATGGTGCAGGTGTCTCACTCTGTGTCTCACCTATGGTGCAGGTGTCTCACCTATGGTGCAGGGTGTCTCACCTATGGTGGCAGGGTGTCTCACTCTGTGTCTCACCTATGGTGCAGGTGTCTCACCTATGGTGCAGGTGTCTCACCTATGGTGCAGGTTGTCTCACCTATGGTGCAGGTGTCTCACCTATGGTGCAGGTGTCTCACTCTGTGTCTCACCTATGGTGCAGGTGTCTCACCTATGGTGCAGGTGTCTCACCTATGGTGCAGGTGTCTCACCTATGGTGCAGGTGTCTCACCTATGGTGCAGGTGCCTCACTCTGTGTCCTCACCTATGGTGCAGGTGTCTCACCTATGGTGCAGGTGTCTCACCTATGGTGCAGGTGTCTCACCTATGGTGCAGGTGTCTCACCTATGGTGCAGGTGTCTCACTCTGTGTCTCACCTATGGTGCAGGTGTCTCACCTATGGTGCAGGTGTCTCACCTATGGTGCAGGTGTCTCACCTATGGTGCAGGTGTCTCACTCTGTGTCTCACCTATGGTGCAGGTGTCTCACCTATGGTGCAGGTGTCTCACCTATGGTGCAGGTGTCTCACTCTGTGTCTCACCTATGGTGCAGGTGTCTCACCTATGGTGCAGGTGTCTCACCTATGTGCAGGTGTCTCACCTATGGTGCAGGTGTCTCACCTATGGTGCAGGTGTCTCACTCTGGTCTCACCTATGGTTGCAGGTGGCTGTCTCACCTATCGGTGCAGGTGTACCTCACCTATGGTGCAGGTGTCCCACCTATGGGCAGGTGTCTCACATCTGTGTACTCCCTATGGTGCAGGTGTCCTCACCTATGGTGCAGGTGTCTCACCTATGGTGCAGGTGTCTCACCTCTGGTGCAGGGTACTCACCTAATGTTAGGTGTCTCTACCTATGGTCGCAGGTGTCTCACCTATGGTGCAGGTGTCCTCACCTATGGTGCAGGTGTCTCACCTATGGTGCATGGTGTCTCACCTATGGTGCAGGTGTCTCACCTATGGATGGCAGGTGTCTCACGTCCTGTGTCTCCACCTAATGTGCAGGTGTCTCACCTATGGTGCAGGTGTCTCACCTATGGTGCAGGTGTCTCACCTATGGTGCAGGTGTCCTCACCTAGTGCAGGTGCAGGTGTCTGCACCTATGGTGCAGGTGTCTCACCTATGGGGCAAAGGTGTCTCACGCTGTGTCTCACCTATGGTGCAGGTGTTCTCACCTATGGTGCAGGTGTCTCACCTATGGTGCAGTGTCTCACTCTGTGTCTCACCTATGGTGCAGGTGTCTCACCTATGGTGCAGGTGTCTCACTATGGTGCAGGTGTCTCACCTATGGTGCAGGTGTCTCACCTATGGTGCAGGTGTCTCCCTCTGTGTCTCACCTATGGTGCAGGTGTCCACCTATGGTGCAGGTGTTCACCTATGGTGCAGGTGTCTCCACCTCTGGTGCAGGGTCTCACCTCTGTGTCTCACCTATGGTGCAGGTGTCTCACCTATGGTGCAGGTGTCTCACCTATGGTGCAGGTGTCTCACCTATGGGCAGGTGTCTCACCTATGGTGCAGGTGTCCTCACCTATGGTGCAGGTGGTCTCACCTATGGTGCTGCAGGTGTCTCACCTATGGTGCAGTGTCTCACTCTGTGTCTCACCTATGGTGCAGGTGTCTCACCTATGTTGCAGGTGTCTCCCCTATGGTGCAGTGTCTCACCTATGGTGCAGGTGTCTCACCTATGGTGCAGGTGTCTCACCTATGGTGCAGGTGTCTCACCTATGGCAAGGTGTCTCCACCTATGGTGTCTCACATCTGTGTCTCACCTATGGTGCGGTGTCCTCACCTATGGTGCCAGGTGTCTCACCTATGGTGCAGGGTGTCCTCACCTATGGTGCAGGTGTCTCACCTATGGTGCAGGTGTCTCACTCTGTGTCTCACCTATGGTGCAGGTGTCTCACCTATGGTGCAGGTGTCTCACCTATGGTGCAGGTGTCTCACCTATGGTGCAGGTGTCTCACCTATGGTGCAGGTGTCTCACTCTGTGTCTCACTCTGTGTCTCACCTATGGTGCAGGTGTCTCACCTATGGTGCAGGTGTCCATCACCTATGGTGCAGGTGTCCTCACCTATGGTGCAGGTGTCTCACTCTGTGTCTCACCTATGGTGGCAGGTGTCTCACCTATGGTGGCAGGGTGTCTCACCTATGGTGCAGGTGTCCCCCACCTATGTCAGGTGTCTCACTCTGTGTCTCACCTATGGTGCAGGTGTCTCACCTATGGTGCAGGTGTCTCACCTATGGTGGCAGGTGTCTCACCTATGGTGCAGGTGTCTCACCTATGGTGCAGGTGTCTCACCTATGGTGCAGGTGTCTCACTCTGTGTCTCACCTATGGTGCAGGTGTCTCACCTATGGTGCAGGTGTCTCACCTATGGTGCAGGTGTCTCACCTATGTGCAGGTGTCCTCACTCTGTGTCTCACCTATGGTGGCAGGTGTCTCACCTATGGTGCAGGTGTCTCACCTATGGTGCAGGTGTCTCACCTATGGTGGCAGGTGTCTCACTATGGTGCAGGTGTCTCACTCTGTGTCTCACCTATGGGTGCAGGTGTCTCACCTATGGTGCAGGTGTCTCACCTATGGTGCAGGTGTCTCACTCTGTGTCTCACCTATGGTGCAGGTGTCTCACCTATGGTGCAGGTGTCTCACCTATGGTGCAGGTGTCCTCACCTATGGTGCAGGTGTCTCACCTATGGTGCAGGTGTCTCACCTATGGTGCAGGTGTCTCACTCTGTGTCTCACCTATGGTGCAGGTGTCTCACCTATGGTGCAGGTGTCTCACCTATGGTGCAGGTGTCCTCACCTATGGTGCAGGTGTCTCACCTATGGTGCAGGTGTCTCACTCTGTGTCTCACCTATGGTGCAGGTGTCTCACCTATGGTGCAGGTGTCTCACCTATGGTGCAGGTGTCTCACCTATGGTGCAGGGTGTCTCACCTATGGTGCAGGTGTCTTACTCTGTGTCTCACCTATGGTGCAGGTGTCTCACCTATGGTGCAGGTGTCTCACCTATGGTGCAGGTGTCTCACCTATGGTGCAGGTGTCTCACTCTGTGTCTCACCTATGGTGCAGGTGTCTCACCTATGGTGCAGGTGTCTCACCTATGGTGCAGGTGTCTCACATCTGTGTCTCACCTATGGTGCATGTAGGGTCTCACCTATGGTGCAAGGTGTCTCACCTATGGTGCAGTGTCCTCACCTATGGTGCAGGTGTCTCACCTATGGTGCAGGTGTCTCACCTATGGTGCAGGTGTCTCACTCTGTGTCTCACCTATGGTGCAGGTGTCTCACCTATGGTGGCAGGTGTCTCACCTATGGTGCAGGTGTCTCACCTATGGTGCAGGTGTCTCAACCTATGGTGCAGGTGTCTCACTCTGTGTCTCACCTATGGTGCAGGTGTCTCACCTATGGTGCAGGGTGTCTCACCTATGGTGCAGGTGTCTCACCTATGGTGCAGGTGTCTCACTCTGTGTCCTCACCTATGGTGCAGGTGTCTCACCTATGGTGCAGGTGTCTCACCTATGGGTGCAGGTGTCCTCACCTATGGTGCAGGTGTCTCACCTATGGTGCAGGTGTCTCACCTATGGTGCAGGTGTCTCACTCCTGTGTCCTCAACCAATGGTGCAGGTGTCTCACCTATGGTGCAGGTGTCTCACCTATGGTGCAGGTGTCTCACTCTGTGTCTCACCTATGGTGCAGGTGGTCTCACCTATGGTGCAGGTGTCTCACCTATGGTGCAGGTGTCTCACCTATGTGAAGGTGTCCTCACCTATGGTGCAGGTGTCTCACCTATGGTGCAGGTGTCTCACTCTGTGTCTCACCTATGGTTGCTAGGGTGTCTCACCTATGGTGCAGGTGTCTCACCTATGGTGCAAGTGTCCTCACCTATGGTGCAGGTGTCTCACCTATGGTGCAGGTGTCTCACTCTGTGTCTCACCTATGGTGCAGGTGTCTCCCCTATGGTGCAGGTGTCTCACCTATGGTGCATGTGTCTCACCTATGGTGCAGGTGTCTCACTCTGTGTCTCACCTATGGTGCAGGTGTCTCACCTATGGTGGCAGGTGTCTCACCTATGGTGCAGGTGTCTCACCTATGGTGCAGGTGTCTCACTCTGTGTCTCCCTATGTGTGCGGGTGTCTCACCTATGGTGCAGGTGTCTCACCTATGGGTGCAGGTGTCTCACTCTGTGTCTCACCTATGGTGCAGGTGTCTCACCTATGGTGCAGGTGTCTCACCTATGGTGCAGGTGTCTCACCTATGGTGCAGGTGTCTCACCTATGGTGCAGGTGTCTCACCTATGGTGCAGGTGTCTCACCTATGGTGCAGGTGTCTCACTCTGGGTCTCACCTATGGTGCAGGTGTCCTCACCTATGGTGCAGGTGTCTCACCTATGGTGCAGGTGTCTCACCTATGGTGCAGGTGTCTCACCTATGGTGCAGGTGTCTCACCTATGGTGCAGGTGTCTCACCTATGGTGCAGGTGTCTCACTCTGTGTCTCACCTATGGTGCAGGTGTCTCACCTATGGTGCAGGTGTCTCACCTATGGTGCAGGTGTCTCACCTATGGTGCAGGTGTCTCACTCTGTGTCTCACCTATGGTGCAGGTGTCTCACCTATGGTGCAGGTGTGTCACCTATGGTGCAGGTGTCTCACCTATGGTGCAGGTGTCTCACTCGTCTCACCTATGGTGCAGGTGTCTCACCTATGGTGCAGGTGTCTCACCTATGGTGCAGGTGTCTCACCTATGGTGCAGGTGTCTCACCTATGGTGCAGGTGTCTCACCTATGGTGCAGGTGTCTCACTCTGTGTCTCACCTATGGTGCAGGTGTCTCACCTATGGTGCAGGTGTCTCACTCTGTGTCTCACCTATGGTGCAGGTGTCTCACCTATGGTGCAGGTGTCTCACCTATGGTGCAGGTGTCTCACCTATGGTGCAGGTGTCTCACCTATGGTGCAGGTGTCTCACTCTGTGTCTCACCTATGGTGCAGGTGTCTCACCTATGGTGCAGGTGTCTCACCTATGGTGCAGGTGTCTCCGCTCCAGCCCTCGTCGCAGGTGCACGCCCCGTGCCGGCAGGTGCCGTGGACGCCGCACGCCGGCGGGCACCCCCCGAGGCGGCACCCCGGCCCCCCCCAGCCCTCCTCGCAGCGGCAGACGCCGGCCACGCAGGCGCCGTGCTCCCCACACTCCTCGGCACACTCCTCTACGGCACAAGCAAAGAGAGGGGGGGGGGGGTGGTGGGTGGCCGGCGCCACGCCCGGCCGCCTTTGTCTTCCCCGGTGGCGACGGTCAAGCCGCACGCCGCGCCGGGCGCTCGTTCGAGGCCGAGTCGACCTAGGGGAGGCCCGGGAGCGGCGCTGACGGTCGGCGGCGGTGTCGGTGGCCGTGAGCGGGAATCGAACTCGGGGCCCTGCCGGCTCCCCCGTGCGCGTCAACGCAGTTGGACACGCGGGGCGTGTGTGTGTGTGTGTCTCAGCGTGTCCGTGTCTCACCACGTCTCACCGCTTGCCACCCCCGGTGTCAACTACGACTATTTGTTGCTGTAGTTGTACTGTACCGCGTATGGCCCCACTGCCGCTACGGAGTTCTCCTCTCTCTCTCTCTCCCTCTGGGTTTCAGAAGCGTTCCCTGGCCCCGTCGCTAGCGGCAGCTCGCACCCCATGGGGCTCCTCGGCGTCGTCGACATTCACGGCGGCAGCCAAACGTTCTAAACGCGTCACGTTGGGGGGAAACGCGGAGGAGAAAAATCCACGCGAGCCTCCCCCCCCCCTCTCGTGACCACCCCTCCCGTGACCCCCCCCGTGACCCCCGTGACTCCCCCGCCCCCCCCCCCACCGTGACCCCTCCCGTAACCCCCACCGTGAACCCCCCCGTGACCCTCCTGCCCCCCCCGTGACCGCCCCGATCCCCCCCCACGTGATCCCACCGTCGTGACCCCGCCCGTGACCCCGCCCGTGACCTCCCCGTGACCTCCCCCCCCCCCCCCGCACGTTACCGGTCTCGCACTGGGCCCCCGTCCAGCCGGGCTCGCACTCGCACGCGCCGCTCTCGGCCTCGCTGGAGCCGTGGCCCGAGCAGAGGTGGGGGCAGGGGGGCCGTGGCAGCGAGCAGGAGGGGCCCCCCCAGCCGGCGTTGCAGCGGCACTCCCCCCGCACGCAGACCCCTCGGCCCCCGCACGCCGGCTCCATGCAGTCCACTGCGCACCCACGCACAGGCAGCCGTCTCACAGTGTCACCAAACATTCTCCACGCGTCTCCCAGAGCATCTCACAGTGTCACCAAACATTCTCCACGAGTCTCGCAGAGTCTCACAGTGTCACCAAACATTCTCCACGCGTCTCCCAGAGTCTCACAGTGTCACCAAACATTCTCCACGCGTCTCGCAGAGTCTCACAGTGTCACCAAACATTCTCCACGCGTCTCGCAGAGTCTCACAGTGTCACCAAACATTCTACACGCGTCTCACAGAGTCTCACAGTGTCACCAAACATTCTCCACGCGTCTCGCAGAGTCTCACAGTGTCACCAAACATTCTCCACGCGTCTCCCAGAGTCTCACAGTGTCACCAAACATTCTGCACGCGTCTCGCAGAGTCTCACAGTGTCACCAAACATTCTCCACGCGTCTCGCAGAGTCTCACAGTGTCACCAAACATTCTCCACGAGTCTCACAGAGTCTCACAGTGTCACCAAACATTCTCCACGCGTCTCGCAGAGTCTCACAGTGTCACCAAACATTCTCCACGCGTCTCGCAGAGTCTCACAGTGTCACCAAACATTCTCCACGCGTCTCGCAGAGTCTCACAGTGTCACCAAACATTCTCCACGCGTCTCGCAGAGTCTCACAGTGTCACCAAACATTCTCCACGCGTCTTTCAGAGTCTCACAGTGTCACCAAACATTCTCCACGCGTCTCCCAGAGTCTCACAGTGTCACCAAACATTCTCCACGCGTCTCGCAGAGTCTCACAGTGTCACCAAACATTCTCCACGCGTCTCGCAGAGTCTCACAGTGTCACCAAACATTCTCCACGCGTCTCGCAGAGTCTCACAGTGTCACCAAACATTCTCCACGCGTCTCACAGAGTCTCACAGTGTCACCAAACATTCTCCACGCGTCTCCCAGAGTCTCACAGTGTCACCAAACATTCTCCACGCGTCTCGCAGAGTCTCACAGTGTCACCAAACATTCTCCACGCGTCTCGCAGAGTCTCACAGTGTCACCAAACATTCTCCACGCGTCTCCCAGAGTCTCACAGTGTCACCAAGACATTCTCCACGCGTCCTCGCAGAGTCTCACAGTGTCACCAAACATTCTCCACGCGTCTCACAGAGTCTCACAGTGTCACCAAAACATTCTCCACGCGTCTCGCAGAGTCTCACAGTGTCACCAAACATTCTCCACGCGTCTCGCAGAGTCTCACAGTGTCACCAAACATTCTCCACGCGTCTCGCAGAGTCTCATAGTGTTACCAAACATTCTCCACGCGTCTCACAGAGTCTCACAGTGTCACCAAACATTCTCCACGCGTCTCGCAGAGTCTCACAGTGTCACCAAACATTCTCCACGCGTCTCCCAGAGACTCACAGTGTCACCAAACATTCTCCACGCGTCTCGCAGAGTCTCACAGTGTCACCAAACATTCTCCACGCGTCTCGCAGAGTCTCACAGTGTCACCAAACATTCTCCACGCGTCTGGCAGAGTCTCACAGTGTCACTAAACATTCTCCACGCGTCTCGCAGAGTCTCACAGTGTCACCAAACATTCTCCACGCGTCTCGCAGAGTCTCACAGTGTCACCAAACATTCTCCACGCGTCTCGCAGAGTCTCACAGTGTCACCAAACATTCTCCAAGCGTCTCGCAGAGTCTCACAGTGTCACCAAACATTCTCCACGCGTCTCCCAGAGTCTCACAGTGTCACCAAACATTCTTCACGCGTCTCGCAGAGTCTCACAGTGTCACCAAACATTCTCCACGCGTCTCGCAGAGTCTCACAGTGTCACCAAACATTCTCCACGCGTCTCACAGAGTCTCACAGTGTCACCAAACATTCTCCACGCGTCTCGCAGAGTCTCACAGTGTCACCAAACATTCTCCACGCGTCTCGCAGAGTCTCACAGTGTCACCAAACATTCTCCACGCGTCTCCCAGAGTCTCACAGTGTCACCAAACATTCTCCACGCGTCTCGCAGAGTCTCACAGTGTCACCAAACATTCTCCACGCGTCTCGCAGAGTCTCACAGTGTCACCAAACATTCTCCACGCGTCTCCCAGAGTCTCACAGTGTCACCAAACATTCTCCACGCGTCTCGCAGAGTCTCACAGTGTCACCAAACATTCTCCACGCGTCTCGCAGAGTCTCACAGTGTCACCAAACATTCTCCACGCGTCTCCCAGAGTCTCACAGTGTCACCAAACATTCTCCACGCGTCTCGCAGAGTCTCACAGTGTCACCAAACATTCTCCACGCGTCTCCCAGAGTCTCCCCGTGTCTCCCCGTGTCTCTCTCACGTCTCGCAGAGTCTCACAGTGTTACCAAACATTCTCCACGCGTCTCGCAGAGTCTCACAGTGTCACCAAACATTCTCCACGCGTCTCGCAGAGTCTCACAGTGTCACCAAACATTCTCCACGCGTCTCGCAGAGTCTCACAGTGTCACCAAACATTCTCCACGCGTCTCGCAGAGTCTCACAGTGTCACCAAACATTCTCCACGCGTCTCGCAGAGTCTCACAGTGTCACCAAACATTTTCCACGCGTCTCCCAGAGTCTCACAGTGTCACCAAACATTCTCCACGCGTCTCGCAGAGTCTCACAGTGTCACCAAACATTCTCCACGCGTCTCGCAGAGTCTCACAGTGTCACCAAACATTCTCCACGCGTCTCGCAGAGTCTCCCCGTGTCTCCCCGTGTCTCTCTCACTTCTCCCAGAGTCTCACAGTGTCACCAAACATTCTCCACGCGTCTCGCAGAGTCTCACAGTGTCACCAAACATGCTCCACGCGTCTCGCAGAGTCTCACAGTGTCACCAAACATTCTCCACGCGTCTCCCAGAGTTTCACATTGTCAACAAACATTCTCCACGCGTCTCGTAGAGTCTAAGAGTGTGACCAAACATTCTCCACGCGTCTCGCAGAGTCTCACAGTGTCACCAAACATTCTCCACGCGTCTCCCAGAGTCTCACAGTGTCACCAAACATTCTCAACCCGTCTCGCAGAGTCTCACAGTGTCACCAAACATTCTCCAGGCGTCTCCCAGAGTCTCACATTGTCACCAAACATTCTTCACGCGTCTCGCAGAGTCTCACAGTGTCACCAAACATTCTCCACGCGTCTCCCAGAGTCTCACAGTGTCACCAAACATTCTCCACGCGTCTCCCAGAGTCTCAAAGTGTCACCAAACATTCTCCACGCGTCTCGCAGAGTCTCACAGTGTCACCAAACATTCTCCACGCGTCTCGCAGAGTCTCACAGTGTCACCAAACATTCTCCACGAGTCTCACAGAGTCTCACAGTGTCACCAAACATTCTCCACGCGTCTCGCAGAGTCTCACAGTGTCACCAAACATTCTCCACGCGTCTCCCAGAGTCTCACAGTGTCACCAAACATTCTCCACGCGTCTCCCAGAGTCTCACAGTGTCACCAAACATTCTCCACGCGTCTCGCAGAGTCTCCCCGTGTCTCCCCGTGTCTCTCTTACGTCTCCCAGAGTCTCACAGTGTCACCAAACATTCTCCACGCGTCTCGCAGAGTCTCACAGTGTCACCAAACATGCTCCACGCGTCTCGCAGAGTCTCACAGTGTCACCAAACATTCTCCACGCGTCTCCCAGAGTTTCACATTGTCAACAAACATTCTCCACGCGTCTCGTAGAGTCTAAGAGTGTCACCAAACATTCTCCACGCGTCTCGCAGAGTCTCACAGTGTCACCAAACATTCTCCACGCGTCTCCCAGAGTCTCACAGTGTCACCAAACATTCTCAACCCGTCTCGCAGAGTCTCACAGTGTCACCAAACATTCTCCAGGCGTCTCCCAGAGTCTCAAAGTGTCACCAAACATTCTTCACGCGTCTCGCAGAGTCTCACAGTGTCACCAAACATTCTCCACGCGTCTCGCAGAGTCTCACAGTGTCACCAAACATGCTCCACGCGTCTCGCAGAGTCTCACAGTGTCACCAAACATTCTCCACGCGTCTCCCAGAGTTTCACATTGTCAACAAACATTCTCCACGCGTCTCGTAGAGTCTAACAGTGTCACCAAACATTCTCCACGCGTCTCGCAGAGTCTCACAGTGTCACCAAACATTCTCCACGCGTCTCCCAGAGTCTCACAGTGTCACCAAACATTCTCAACCCGTCTCGCAGAGTCTCACAGTGTCACCAAACATTCTCCAGGCGTCTCCCAGAGTCTCAAAGTGTCACCAAACATTCTCCACGCGTCTCGCAGAGTCTCACAGTGTCACCAAACATTCTCCACGCGTCTCGCAGAGTCTCACAGTGTCACCAAACATTCTCCACGAGTCTCACAGAGTCTCACAGTGTCACCAAACATTCTCCACGCGTCTCGCAGAGTCTCACAGTGTCACCAAACATTCTCCACGCGTCTCCCAGAGTCTCACAGTGTCACCAAACATTCTCCACGCGTCTCCCAGAGTCTCACAGTGTCACCAAACATTCTCCACGCGTCTCGCAGAGTCTCACAGTGTCACCAAACATTCTCCACGCGTCTCGCAGAGTCTCACAGTGTCACCAAACATTCTCCACGCGTCTCCCAGAGTCTCACAGTGTCACCAAACATTCTCCACGCGTCTCGCAGAGTCTCACAGTGTCACCAAACATTCTCCACGCGTCTCGCAGAGTCTCACAGTGTCACCAAACATTCTCCACGCGTCTCGCAGAGTCTCACAGTGTCACCAAACATTCTCCACGCGTCTCCCAGAGTCTCACAGTGTCACCAAACATTCTCCACGCGTCTCCCAGAGTCTCACAGTGTCACCAACATTCCCCACGCGTCTCCCAGAGTCTCACAGTGTCACCAAACATTCTCCACGCGTCTCGCAGAGTCTCACAGTGTCACCAAACATTCTCCACGCTTCTCCCAGAGTCTCACAGTGTCACCAAACATTCTCCACGCGTCTCGCAGAGTCTCACAGTGTCACCAAACATTCTCCACGCGTCTCGCAGAGTCTCACATTGTCACCAAACATTCTCCACGCGTCTCCCAGAGTCTCACAGTGTCACCAAACATTCTCCACGCGTCTCCCAGAGTCTCACAGTGTCACCAAACATTCTCCACGCGTCTCGCAGAGTCTCACAGTGTCACCAAACATTCTCCACGCGTCTCGCAGAGTCTCACAGTGTCACCAAACATTCTCCACGCGTCTCCCAGAGTCTCACAGTGTCACCAAACATTCTCCACGCGTCTCGCAGAGTCTCACAGTGTCACCAAACATTCTCCACGCGTCTCCCAGAGCCTCACAGTGTCACCAACATTCCCCACGCGTCTCCCAGAGTCTCACAGTGTCAACAAACATTCTCCACGCGTCTCGCAGAGTCTCACAGTGTCACCAAACATTCTCCACGCGTCTCCCAGAGTCTCACAGTGTCACCAAACATTCTCCACGCGTCTCGCAGAGTCTCACAGTGTCACCAAACATTCTCCACGCGTCTCGCAGAGTCTCACAGTGTCACCAAACATTCTCCACGCGTCTCCCAGAGTCTCACAGTGTCACCAAACATTCTCCACGCGCCTCGTAGAGTCTCACAGTGTCACCAAACATTCTCCACGCGTCTCGCAGAGTCTCACAGTGTCACCAAACATTCTCCACGCGTCTCGCAGAGTCTCACAGTGTCACCAAACATTCTCCACGCGTCTCCCAGCGTCTCACAGTGTCACCAAACATTCCCCACGCGTCTCCCAGAGTCTCACAGTGTCACCAAACATTCTCCACGCGTCTCCCAGAGTCTCACAGTGTCACTAAACATTCTCCACGCGTCTCGCAGAGTCTCACAGTGTCACCAAACATTCTCCACGCGTCTCCCAGAGTCTCACAGTGTCACCAAACATTCTCCACGCGTCTCCCAGAGTCTCACAGTGTCACCAAACATTCTCCACGCGTCTCGCAGAGTCTCACAGTGTCACCAAACATTCTCCACGCGTCTCGCAGAGTCTTACAGTGTCACCAAACATTCTCCACGCGTCTCGCAGAGTCTCACAGTGTCACCAAACATTCTCCACGCGTCTCGCAGAGGCTCACAGTGTCACCAAACATTCTCCACGCGTCTCGCAGGGTCTCACAGTGTCACCAAACATTCTCCACGCGTCTCCCAGAGTCTCCCCGTGTCACCCCGTGTCTCTCCCACGTCTCCCCGTGTCTCTCCCACGTCTCCCAGAGTCTCCCCACGTCACCCCGTCTCTCTCTCACGTCTCTCAGAGTCTCCCCGTGTCTCCCCGTGTCTCTCTCACGTCTCCCAGAGTCTCACAGTGTCACCAAACATTCTCCACGCGTCTCCCAGAGTCTCCCCACGTCACCCCGTGTCTCTCCCACGTCTCCCAGAGTCTCCCCACGTCACCTCGTGTCTCTCCCACGTCTCCCAGAGTCTCCCCATGTCATCCCACACGTCTCCCCGAGTCTCCCCAATTCTCTCCACGTCTTCCCGTGTCTCTTTCACGTCTCCCCGCGTCTCCCCGTGTCAGTACCCACGTCTCCCCCAATCTCCCCGCGTCTCTCTCACGTCTCCCAGAGTCTCCCCGTGTCTCCTCGTGTCTCTCTCACGGCTCCACACGTCTCCCCCAATCTCCCCGTGTCTCTTCCACGTCTCCCCGCGTCAGTCGTCAGTCTCCACGTCTGCCTCTGCGTCTGCCCCCCCCCCACCCCCCTCACCCCCACCCCCCCTCCCCGGCACTACCCTCGGTGCAGCCGGGCCCCTTGAAGCCCCCGTGGCAGACGCACTCCCCCATGACGCAGGCCCCGTGGCCCCCGCAGGCCGGGTCCAGGCAGTGGGACGCGGGGACGTCGCACTCGGGCCCCTTCCAGCCGGTGTGGCAGCGGCACTCCCCCGCCGCGTACTCGCCATTGTTGCTGCACAGCTCGGGGCACGACACTGGGGGGGGGGGGGGGGGGGCACGGGAGAGTGGGGGGCGGGGGCGCAAGGGTCGGGTGGTGAGGGGCCAGGACGCGCAAAGACAAAGATCCCCCGTGTAGCCTTAACAGACTGTAGGGGCAAGTGCTGTTAGCGAGCACCTACGAAGGCCGGAACGGCACACGAGGAGGTGGGTGGCCAGCACCAGACCCGGCCGCCTTTGTCTCCCCAGTGGCGATGTTTACTACACACCGCACCAGGCACTCATTTGAGGCTCAGTCGACCTAGGGGAGGCCCAGGGCCGGTTCAGATAATCGTCACCGGTGTTGGCCGTGAGCGGGAATCGAACTCGGGTTGCCGGGTTCGTAGCACTAACCGCTACACACTCTATCCCGTGCAGACAACCAGAGAAACCACACGCGTGAGAGAGGGGGAAACACTCTATCCCGTGCAGACAGAACCAGAGTAACCACACGCGTGAGAGAGGGGGAAACACTCTATCCCGTACAGACAGAACCAGAGAAACCACACGCGTGAGAGAGGGGGAAACACTCTATCCCGTACAGACAGAACCAGAGAAACCACACGCGTGAGAGAGGGGGAAACACTCTATCCCGTGCAGACAGAACCAGAGAAACCACACGCGTGAGAGAGGGGTAAACACTCTATCCCGTGCAGACAGAACCAGAGAAACCACACGCGTGAGAGAGGGGGAAACACTTTATCCCGTGCAGACAGAACCAGAGAAACCACACGCGTGAGAGAGGGGGAAACACTCTATCCCGTGCAGACAGAACCAGAGAAACCACACGCGTGAGAGAGGGGGAAACACTCTATCCCGCGCAGACAGAACCAGAGAAACCACACGCGTGAGAGAGGGGGAAACACTCTATCCCGTGCAGACAGAACCAGAGAAACCACACTCGTGAGAGAGGGGGAAACAATCTATCCCGTGCAGACCGAACCAGAGAAACCACACGCGTGAGAGAGGGGGAAACACTCTATCCCGTGCAGACAGAACCAGAGAAACCACACGCGTGAGAGAGGGGGAAACACTCTATCCCGTGCAGACAGAACCAGAGAAACCACACGCATGAGAGAGGGGGAAACACTCTATCCCGTGCAGACAGAACCAGAGAAACCACACGCGTGAGAGAGGGGGAAACACTCTATCCCGTGCAGACAGAACCAGAGAAACCACACGCGTGAGAGAGGGGGAAACACTCTATCCCGTGCAGACAGAACCAGAGAAACCACACGCGTGAGAGAGGGGGAAACACTCTATCCCCCCCCGAGAGAGAACATGTTGGGTGCCACTGTCACCTCTTGCGCAGTCGATGCCAACGAAGCCGGGGAAGCAGTGGCAGGATCCCGAGAGGCATTCCCCGTTGCCGTGACAGTTGTTGGTACAGGCCTCCAGAGACTCTGCAAGCGGAGAGGCCAACACCGCGCCCTCTCCCTCTGTGTCTCCCAGTTCCTCTGTGCTCGTGTCCCTCTGTCCCGTGTCCCTCTGTCCCGTGTCCCTCTGTCCCGTGTCCCTTTGTTCCGTGTCCCCCTGTCCCCGTGTCCCTCTGTCCCGTGTCCCCCTGTCCCCGTGTCCCTCTGTCCCGTGTCCCTCTGTCCCTCTGTCCCGTGTCCCTCTGTCCCGTGTCCCTCTGTCCCCGTGTCCCCGTGTCCCTCTGTCCCGTGTCCCTCTGTCCCCGTGTCCCTCTGTCCCGTGTCCCCCTATCCCCGTGTCCCCCTATCCTGTGTCCCCGTGTCTCCCTGTCCCTCTGTCCCGTGTCCCTCTGTCCCCGTGTCCCCGTGTCCCCCTGTCCCTCTGTCCCCGTGTCCCCCTGTCCCCGTGTCCCGGTGTCCCTCTGTCCCGTGTCCCCGTGTCCCTCTGTCCCGTGTCCCCCTGTCCTGCGTCCCCGTGACCCCATGACCCGAATTTTAAAGTGGAGCAGTGCGACTAAAGAAGCACAAAGTGAAGTGTCGTGGGTGGGTGGGTGAGTGGGTAGGTGGGTGGGTAGGTGAGTGGGTAGGTGGGTGAGTGGGTAGGTGGGTAGGTGAGTCGGTGGGTGAGTGAGTGGGTAGGTGGGGAGGTGAGTGGGTGGGTGGGTAAGTGAGTGAGTGAGTGGGTGAGTGAGCGGGTGAGTGAGTGCGTCAGTGAGTGGGTGAGTGAGTGGGTAAGTGGGGGAGTGTGTGGGTTGAGTGAATGGGTGAATGGGTAATTGGGCGAGTGAGTGGGTGGGTGATGGTAGTGGGCGGGTACATGGGTTAGTGAGTGGCTAAGTGAACGAGTGAGTGAACGAGTGAGTGAACGAGCGAGTGGCTAAGTAAACGAGTGAGTGAACGAGTGAGTGAACGAGTGAGTGGCCAAGTGAACAAGTGAGTGGCTAAGTGAACGAGTGAGTGAACGAGTGCGTGAACGAGTGCGTGAACGAGTGAGTGAGCGAGTGGCTAAGCGAACGAGTGAGTGAACGAGTGAGTGGCTAAGTGAACGAGTGAGTGAGCGAGTGAGTTGCTAAGTGAACGAGTGAGTGGATAAATTAACGAGTGAGTGAGCGAGTGAGTAGCTAAGTGAACGAGTGAGTGGGGGTTGGCGTTGGGTTTTGGGGTGTGGGGGTTGGGGGGTGTGGGGGTGGGGGTTGGGGGGGGTGGGGGCCAAGGCGCCCGCCACTCACCCACGGCGCTGGTGCTGAAGGACAGCAGCTGGGTGCTGTGGGCGTCGTTGTACAGCGCCAGGTGCCACGTGCCCCCCTCCAGGTACTCGATGAACCCCGCGTGCCTCCGCGGGGGGCCGCGACCTCCCGCTCCGCCCGCCGCCCCCCGGGCCGCCCTCGCCGAGCCCTGGGGCCCGGGGCTGCGCCTCGCCCTCTCGCCCCCCGCGACGTCCCCCGGGAGTGCCGAGGGCTCCGTCTCCTCACGAGCGGCTCCGCCCGCGCCAACGCCGCCGCCACCGCCACCCCCCAGACGACTGCCGTCCAGGAGCTTCACGAAGTCGTACTGGGGGGGGTGGGAGCCCGTGCCGTGGGGGTCACGGCGGGGGGGGGGGCAGTGTGGGCACCACGGTGGCTAGGAGATGTTAACTACCTCGCTCGGTACGCAGGAGGCCGTGGGTTCGATCTCGTCACTGACGCCTGCTGCTGCTGTATATTTGGAGTGTCCGTGTCTCTCTCTCTGTCTCTCCGTGGTGAGACGTTGACTACCTCGCCTGGTACGCAGGAAGTCGTGGGTTCGATCCCGACCCTGACGCCTGCTGCTGTATATTTGGAGTGTCCATGTCTCTCTCTCTCTCTGTCTCTCTCCGTGGTCGCGTGGATTTTTCTCCTCCGGTTTTTCCCCCCCTCCACATTTAAAATCGACTATCACGCGTTTAGAGAATTCAGTATTTGGCTGTTGATATAAATCTGCACGTGATGATGATGATGATAAGCCGCTTCGCTGAGCTATCGTTTGTGATGACCAGGTCGCTTCTGGAAAAAAACGCTACATAGTTCAGTTGGGGCCTTACCTGGTGAATTAAGAATAAAAATAATGGGACAAATCATTCACGCACTCGCAAATTAATACGTTGAAGGCTTTGATGATGATCACAAACATTGCGTATCGCTTTTTTTTTCGTGCGGCGCGGCACGCGGCACGCGGCACGCGGCACGCGGCACGCGTCACGTGCCACGTGCCACGTGGTGCGGCACGCGGCACGTGGTGCGGCACGCGGCACGTGGTGCGGCACGCGGCACGTGGTGCGGCACGCGGCACGTGGTGCGGCACGCGGCACGTGCCACGTGGCACGTGCCACGTGGTGCGGCACGCGGTTCGACGCGACGCGGTGCTGCGCGCGTTGCGTTGCGCGCTCGCAAGCGGCGGCGGCGGCGCTCACCTGCGTGTGAGTGGGGGGCAGCCCCCTCACCTGCGTGTGAGTGGGGGGCAGCCCCCCTTACCTGCGTGTGAGTGGGGGGCAGCCCCCTACGGCCGTATGCGGCGAGCAGCGCGTCGCGGGGCAGGCTGATGTTGAACTTGAGGAGGCGCGCGCCGCCGTCCAGCGAGACGCGGGTCCGCCAGTAGACGCCCGGCGGCACGTCCTGAAGGTACTCGCGGCCCACCCACACCTCGCCCGCGTCCAGCGATTGGGGACCCACGCCCACAGGAGGGCTCTTGGCTGTGGAGGGGTCGGCCAGGTGGGAGACGGCGGGAGGGGGTACCAGCATCACGATCAATAAAGTAGCCAAGGGGGTGGGGGGTGGGGGTAGTGATTCGCACTTGTTGTGTCAATGAAGATCGGTGTGATGATGATGATGATGTCTCCTCTGCCCTGCGTGTGTTCTCTACTCCACGTGATCTTCTCCCTCTCTGTCTCGGTGTAATTGACATAGTCACCGTGGACTGTCCACTGCTAGATGGAGATCGGTGTGGTGATGATGATGATGATGTCTCCTCTGCCCTGCGTGTGTTCTCTACTCCACGTGATCATCTTCTCCCTCTCTGTCTCTCAGTGTAAATTCCCAGCATGCATCGCTCCATGCTGCTTGGCGCGGGTGAGACCGTTTTTATTGGGGGGGGGGGAAATAGTGGTGGATATTCCACATTCCCATGACAGGGTCTTACCTCTGCTGTCCCCGTTCTCATAGGTGTGCACGTCTGTGGGCTGCAGCTGCCAATTCAATCCGAACAAATGCATAGCTGGGGGGGGGGGGGGGTACAGAAGAGGAGGGAGGGAGGAGTCAGCGTGATCAGTGGACACAAACACACAGACAAAGATCCCCCGTGTGGTCTTCAACAGAATGTTGGGGCAAGTGCTGTTAGCGAGCAGCTATGAAAGCCGACACGGCACACGAGGAGGTGGGTGGCCAGCACCACGCCCGGCCGCCTTTGTCTCCCCAGCCGCGATGTTTACTGCACGCCGCATCGGGTACTCATTTGAGGCTGAGTCGACCTAGGGGAGGCCCGTGACCGGTTCAGATGATCGTCACCGGTGTTGGCCGTGAGCGGGAATCGAACTCGGATCGCTGGGTTCGTGGTGCAGCGCGTTAACCGCTACACACACAGACAAAGTTCCCCCGTATAGCTTAGCAGACTGTTGGGGCAAGTGCTGTTTTGCGAGCAGCAGCGCCTGTGAAGGCCGGCACGGCCACGCCTATCGTGGTGTGGTGTTGCCAGCACCACCCCCGACCGCCTTTGTCTCCCCCCGCGCTGAAATTTCGTACGCACCGCACCGTGTGCCCGGTTTAGGTTGAGTCGACGTAACGGAGGCTAAGGAGCGGCGCAGATAATTGTGCCACTGATGTTAGCCGTGAGCGGGAAGAGCCAAACCTCATTGCTCCACGCAATCTGGCACTGGCGCGAGCCGTACGCCCGATTCGCCAACGCCACACGTGGTGTGTGGTGTGTGTCACACCGTGGTGTGTGTGTCACACGTGGTGTGTGTGTGTGTCACACGTGGTGTGTGTGTGTGTCACACCGTGGTGTGTGTGTGTGTCACACGTGGTGTGTGTGTGTGTCACACGTGGTGTGTGTGTGTGTGTCACACTGTGGTGTGTGTGTGTCACACGAGGTGTGTGTGTGTCACACGTGGTGTGTGTGTGTGTTACACGTGGTGTGTGTGTGTCACACGTGGTGTGTGTGTGTCACACGTGGTGTGTGTGTGTGTGTCACACGTGGTGTGTGTGTGTGTGTGTCACACGTGGTGTGTGTGTGTCACACGTGGTGTGTGTGTGTGTGTCACACGTGGTGTGTGTGTGTCACACGAGGTGTGTGTGTGTCACACGTGGCGTGTGTGTGTGTGTCACACGTGTGTGTGTCACACGTGGTGTGTGTGTCACACGTGGTGTGTGTGTGTCACACGTGTGTATGTGTGTGTGTCACACGTGTGTGTGTGTCACACGAGGTGTGTGTGTGTCACACGTGGTGTGTGTGTGTCACACGTGGTGTGTGTGTGTGCTCCCATACCCCTGTGACTTTGACCCTCTCCCACACCTCCTGTACCATTCTACCATTCCTCAAGCCCCACGCCACGATCCGCTCACCAGTACCAATCACGCACTCCCCCTATCCACTCACACTGCCGCCTCTCCCCACTCACCCCCCCCCCATGCCCCCCCCCCATGCCCACCCCCCCGGGCCCCCTCCCACCGACGAAGTAGGCGAGTAGCACTGCGAGGGTGGCGGCGAGCCCCGTGGCGCTGAGCGCCGCGCAGCGCCACGAGCAGCGGCGTCTCTCGGGCTTGCGGAACGAGAACGCCGCCCGCGGGGCCAACGCAGCCCTGGGCAGCGGGCGGGGCAGCCCTGCCCCCGGGGCGTAGACGCCGCCGCCGCCGCCGCTGCCGCTGCCCCCGCTGCTGCCCGCGCCGCCACCGCCGCCGCTGCCCCCGCTGCTGCTGCCCGCGGTTGGGCAGGAGGATGAGGCCACCACCAGCCCGCTCCCCGCGGCGACGCTGATGCCCCCCGCGAGTAAAGGGGAAGAGCCGGGCTTGAAGAGGAAGTGTCTGTGGGGGGCGGGGGGGGTTAGTGAGGGGGGGCAGGGGGGGCAGGATGGTTAGTGAGGGGAGGGGAGGTGCGTTTAGATCAGAGGTCGAGTTGTCAATCTCCTCCTCCTCCTCCGGAGTCGGAGATTTTTCTTTTCTCATTACGAAGATACTCTTTGGTTCATTCGGTAAAGTCACGTGGGTGGAAAGATAACAGATCACGACGTTTCGATCGCAACACAAGGCGACCGTCATCAGGTGGGACAACCACAGCAAGAAAAAACTGCTGACGTCGGCTCGCTGTGGTTGTCCCACCTGATGACGGTCGCTTTGTGTTGCGATCGAAACGTCGTCATCTGTTATGTTTCTACCCACGTGACTTTACCGAAATAACCACAGAGCGCGGATGGATTCCTGCAGTCACGAAAGCTTCAAATCAAGATGACGTAAAAAAAAAATAAACGCCAATTTTTTTCAAAATTTTCTCGCTGTGGTTTTCACACCTGATGATGATGATTGCTCGTGTTGCAGTCGAAACGTCGTGAGAATTGTATTGTTTTATATTTTTCTTATTTTATCGTTTCCCTTCTACGTGGTGACTTTACCGAAAGAACCACGAATATTACGAGGACACTTTCACTTTCGTCCCACGTGTTTTTAAAAAATATTAAATTCTTTGTATCCGAGCAGTAGCGACGTAACACTGCAAATAGGCGCTCGCTGCCACGACGCTTGCAAGTTGGCTGCGTCTTACGAATCAAATATTTGGGGGGGGGGGAGAGGGGGGGGAGAGGGGGGGGGGAGAGGGGGGGAGAGGAGGAGGAGAGGGGGGGGAGAGGGGGGGGGCCCAACCCAACCGATCGCCGCACTCGCTGAGGCCAGCGCTAAATCCACTGGGCCATGAACAAGAAAATCAACGCGTAGCGAGCTCGCCTGGTCTCCAGGGGGACGTTGCTGTTCATCCCCCACGCGTCCCCGAGTCCACCACGGCCCGACTCGACCCTTGCCGGCGGCGCGGGGGGCTCCGTGGGGCTGAACCCGCGCCGAGGCTCAACGCCGGAGGCGGCTCCCCCGGACCCAGGAGCCAGGGCCGAGAGCGACGCGTGAGCGTGGTGGTGGTGGTGGTGAGGGTAGTGGTGAGCGTGGTGGTGAGGCAGCCCGTGGCTCAGAGGGTGAGGAGTGGTGCCGTAGTTGCCGTGGTGAGGGTGTTGTTGTTGTTGGTGGTGCTGATGTTGTTGTTGGTGGTGGTGTTGTTGTTGATGTTGTTGTTGTTGGTGGTGGTGGTGGCTCCCTCGCAGCACGGAGTGGGTCTGGTGGCCCAGGCCGGTGTCTGTGAATCGGGAGGGAGATTAAATTATTCGCAATACATTTTTTTAATTAGGAACCAATTAACCAATCAAAGCAGTCGTGGCTCCAGCTTAATGCGCGCCACGGTGGTGAGATGTTAACTACCTTGCCTGGTATACAGGAGGTCGCGGGTTCGATCTCGATCCTGACGCCTGCTGTATATTTGGAGTTTGTGTGTCTCTCTCTCTGTGGTGAGATGTTAACTACCTGGCCTGGTCTACAGGAGGTCGCGGGTTCGATCTCGACCCTGATGCTTGCCGTATATTTGGAGTTTGCGTGTCTCTCTCTCTCTCTCCGTGGTGAGATGTTAACTACCTCGCCTGGTATACAGGAGGTCGCGGGTTCGATCTCGACCCTGACGCCTGCTGTATATTTGGAGTTTGGGTGTCTCTCTCTCTGTGGTGAGATGTTAACTACCTTGCCTGGTATACAGGAGGTCGCGGGTTCGATCTCGACCCTGACGCCTGCTGTATATTTGGAGTTTGGGTGTCTCTCTCTCTGTGGTGAGATGTTAACTACCTGGCCTGGTCTACAGGAGGTCGTGGGTTCGATCTCGACCCTGACGCCTGCTGTATATTTGGAGTTTGTATGTCTCTCTCCCCGTGGTCGCGTGGATTCGTCTCCGGGTCCCTCCGGGTTTTTCCCCTCCACATTTAGAATCAACGTCACCACGCGTTCTGAGTCTTTGGCTGCTGCTATAAATCTGCACGTGATGATGATGATGATAAGCCACTTCGCTGAGCTATCATTTGTGACGGCCAGGTCGCTTCTGAAAAAAAAGCTATAAAGTTAAGTGGGGGCCTTACCTGGTTAATTAAGAATAGAAATAATGGAAAATATTATTCACGCACTCGCAAATTAATACTTTGAAGGCTAAGGTAATTAATTGGGAAGATATATACAGCAACATCGCCTCCAACTGTGAAAGCAAATATGAATGGGATTACTAGAGACTCACAGACTCATACAGAGACTCAAATAATCACACAGAGACTCACAGACTCACACAGAGATTCACAGACTCATACAGAGACTCAAATAATCACACAGAGACTCACAGACTCACACAGAGACTCACAGACTCATACAGAGACTCAAATACTCACACAGAGGCTCACAGACTCATACAGAGACTCAAATAATCACACAGAGACTCACAGACTCACACAGAGACTCACAGACTCATACAGAGACTCAAATACTCACACAGAGACTCACAGACTCATACAGAGACTCACAGACTTATACAGAGACTCAAATACTCACACAGAGACTCACAGACTCATACAGAGACTCACAGACTTATACAGAGACTCAGACACTCACACAGAGACTCACAGACTCACACAGAGACTCACAGACTCATACATAGACTCACAGACTCACACAGAGACTCACAGACTCATACAGAGACTCAAATACTCACACAGAGACTCACAGACTCACACAGAGACTCACAGACTCATACAGAGACTCAAATACTCACACAGAGACTCACAGACTCATACAGAGACTCACAGACTTATACAGAGACTCAAATACTCACACAGAGACTCACAGACTCATACAGAGACTCACAGACTTATACAGAGACTCAGACACTCACACAGAGACTCACAGACTCACACAGAGACTCACAGACTCATACATAGACTCACAGACTCACACAGAGACTCACAGACTCATACAGAGACTCAAATACTCACACAGAGACTCACAGACTCATACAGACACTCACAGACTTATACAGAGACTCAAATACTCATACAGAGACACAACGACTCATACAGAGACTCAAAGATTCATACAGAGACTCATACAGAGACTCACAGACTCATACAGAAGCTCAGAGACTCGCATAGAGTCTCAGACTCACACAGAGACTCACAGACTCATGCAGAGACTCACAGACTCATACAGAGACTCAAAAACTCATACAGAGACTCACAGACTCACACAGAGACTCACAGACTCACACAGACACTCAGACTCATACAGAGACTCACAGACTCATACAGAGACTCAAAGATATACAGAGACTCACAGACTCATACAGAGACTCAGACTCACACAGAGACTCATACAGAGACTCACAGACTCATACAGAGTATCAAAGATATACAGAGACTCACAGACTCATACAGAGACTCACAGACGTATACAGAGACTCAAATACTCATACATAGACTCACAGATTCACACAGAGACTCACAGACTCATACAGAGACTCACAGACGTATACAGAGACTCAAATACTCATACAAAGACTCAAAGATATACAGAGACTCACAGACTCATACAGAAACTCACAGACTTATACAGAGACTCACAGACTCACACAGAGACTCACAGACTCACACAGAGACTCACAGACTCACACAGAGACTCAAAGACTCATACAGAAACTCACAGACTCATATAGAGACTCACAGACACATACAGAGACTCACAGACTTACACAGAGACTCACAGACACATACAGAGACTCACAGACTCATGCAGAGACTCATACAGAGACTCACAGACTCATACAGAAGCTCAGAGACTCGCATAGAGTCTCAGACTCATACAGAGACTCAAATACTCATACAGAAACGCGCAGACTCATACAGCCTCAAATGAGTACCTGGTGCGGTGTGTAAACATCGCCACTAGGGAGACAAAGGCGGCCGGGCGTGGTGCTGACCACCCACCCCCTCGTGTGTCGTGCCGGCCTTCATAGGTGCTCGCTAACAGCACTTGCCCCTACAGTGTGTTGAGGCTATACGGGGGATCTTTGTCTTTGTATCTGTGTTAGACAGGGCGTGTGTGTGTGTGTGTGTTAGACAGGGCGTGTGTGTGTTAGACAGGGCGTGTGTGTGTGAGACAGGGTGTGTGTGTGTGTGTTAGACAGGGCGTGTGTGTGTGTTAGACCGGGCGTGTGTGTGTGTGTGTTAGACAGGGATGTGTGTGTGTGAGACAGGGTGTGTGTGTGTGTGTTAGACAGGGCGTGTGTGTGTGTGTGAGACAGGGCGTGTGTGTGTGTTAGACAGGGCGTGTGTGTGTGTGAGACAGGGCGTGTGTGTGTGAGACAGGGTGTGTGTGTGTTAGACAGGGCGTGTGTGTGTGTTAGACAGGGCGTGTGTGTGTGTGAGAAAGGGCGGGTGTGTGTGTTAGACAGGCCGTGTGTGTGTGTGAGAAAGGGCGTGTGTGGGTGTGAGACAGGGCGTGTGTGTGTGTGAGACAGGGCGTGTGTGTGTTAGACAGGGCGTGTGTGTGTGTGTGTGAGACAGGGCGTGTGTGTGTGAAACAGGGTGTGTGTGTGTGTTAGACAGGCGTGTGTGTGTGTGAGACAGGGCGTGTGTGTGTGTTAGACAGGGCGTGTGTGTGTGTGAGACAGGGCGTGTGTGTGTTAGACAGGGCGTGTGTGTGTGTGAGACAGGGCGTGTGTGTGTGAGACAGGGTGTGTGTGTGTTAGACAGGGCGTGTGTGTGTGTGAGAAAGGGCGGGTGTGTGTGTGTTAGACAGGCCGTGTGTGTGTGTGAGACAGGGTGTGTGTGTGTGTGTGTGAGACAGTGCGTGTGTGTGTGTAGGGAGCGGTGGTGTAGCGGTTAGCGCTCCGCTGCGCTACGAACCTGGCTGACCCGGGTTCGATTCCCGTTCACGGCCAACACCGGTGACGATTATCTGAACCGGTCATGGGCCTCCCCTAGGTCTACTCGGCCTCAAATGAGTACCTGGTACAGTGTGTAAAAACATCGCCGTGCTGTCCTTCGTAGGGTGCTCGCTAACAGCACTTGCCCCGACAGTCTGTTGAAGGCTACACGGATGATCTGTGTCTTTGGGCCTGAGACACGCTACGACACCCTACCCAGACAAAGCGGCTCCCTGCCCTCAACCCCCCGACTCCCCGACTCACCCAAGCACCCACTGGCCCGCTCACTTTCTCACTCGCCCAATCCACACGATGAACTCTTAAACGATTTTTGTTTTTTAATTCTACCAGGGTAAGACCCGCTGAGCTGTGTAGCTCTTTCATTTTATTTTCAGAAGCGACTCGGGCGATGTCGAACGATGGATCAACAAAGTGGCTCGTCGCGTGGAAATTGATAGCAGCCAAATACTCGGAACGCGTTCCGTTGATTTCTCAATGTGGATCGAAGAAACAAGGAGGACCCGGAGATAAAAAAGATCCACGCGACCACGGGGGGAGAGAGAGAGACGCAACCTCTTAAATATACAGCAGCAGCAGCAGGCGTCAGTGTCGGGATTGAACCCACGACCTCCTGTAGACCAGGCGAGGTAGTTAACATCTCACCACGGAGAGAGAGACACGCAAACTCCGAATATACAGCAGGCGACAGGATCGGGATTGCACCCACGACTTCCTGTATACCAGGCGAGGTAGTTAACATCTTACCACAGAGAGAGAGAGAGAGACACGCAAACTCCAAATATACAGCAGCAGGCGTCAGGATCGGGATTGCACCCACGACCTCCTGTAGACCAGGCGAGGTAGTTAACATATCCTAGCCACCATTGACGCCCCAATCATCTCCTCCCATCCCCTCCCTCTCCTAGCCCCTACAATTACACCCACAACTCCCCCCTCCACTCTCCCCCTTCCCATCTGCTTCCTCCCTCCCTCCTTTCCCCGTCTCAGCTTCACTGACGTTGGGGCGGGGGGGGGCAGAAGCGGACGCGATTGCGGCAGAGACAATGTCATTAGCGCCGTCGAGGATTTCGCGATTCATTGTTAGCGAGCGCCTATTAAACAACAACAACAACATCAACAACGTTTAACACGTAGGCTTTCGCGACCAATATTATTCATAATAAAGTGTTTTCGGGTGAGATCGCGTTATCTATGAATGTGTCGCAACCCCCCACCACCAGACACGGCCAATCAGTAAACAATGTGTCACTATTCTGGCAAATTGCCCGATGATGCTGAATGTAATTACCAGCGAAACGTCAGAGTAGTCAAAAATTGTAAATGTTGTG